GCGGCTCACAGCAATTGGAATCTTTTCCAGTTCAAATCCTCGTTTGGGGTCGATAAAATAGGTACCACTACGTGGGGAAAGTCAACAGTGGTTGTCCCCTGTGTGCCAACCGATTCGCGCGGTTGGCTACGTACGGTGCAAAAGAAGTTCAACATACAACTCAGGTCCCCGATTTTGGGAACGTGGCATTTCCACCGCTGGCTCGGCAGGGCCTGCAAGCGGGGAGATGGACATCAATGCGTCAATGTTCGATTTAGCGGCAGGGAAATGACTCGCGACTCGTGTAAAGGTCAGTGTCTGTGTGGAACGCACGGGCGTTACATTTCTCGATATGAGAGAGAGGGAGGGCGGTGGGAGAACTTGTTGGAGGGGGGCGAGGGGGGGTGACAGTGACGGGAGAATGGGGGGGGGGGGCCATACTGATTAATGCACAGACACAAGAATGTGGTGGCGCGCAAGCCCCGCGCAGCTAATGCATGCACCGCGGCGCGGTGCCGCAATTTGTATGCGGCTTAGCGCAAAATATCGGCCTAATTAAAATGTAAATGAATTACCGCACCCCCCCCCCCCCCAACAGCCCCCCATCCGCAAAAAAAATCCTTGCTTGGGTTGTATTTTGTAATTAGCGAGTTATCTGCGCCAATGTGACGAGATTACGCGGGGAATGCGCAGTGTGGACTTTTTTCTTTCTCTCCGGCTCCTCCGGTGTGTTTCCCTCCACATTCAGCGTCGACAGAGTAGTCGGCAGAGGAGTCGGCAGAAGAGTCGGCAGAGGAGTCGGCAGAGGAGTCGGCAGAGTCGTCCGCCGCTGTTGTAAATTTCCACGCGACGACGAGAAGCCGCCCACATCTTGTTGAGCCGCTGTCCGTTCGCGGTGGCCAGGTCGCTGTGTCGCTCTGCGGGCCTTTAGCCCGGGCCAAATTAACAACGACCCAAGTGTCAATGGTTGAGCGGCTCCTCCGGCAGACGAAGGGCGAGACGGAGGAGGCCAGTTCCGCCACTCCACTCGGGGATGGGAGCCACGTGGGACGGGCCCCCCGGGGGGGGCGAGGTGGGGGGTCGCCCGCCACGAACTCACGCGGGCGGGGTGCTCAGCGTTAGCGGTGGGAGGGTGGGGGGAGTGTGGGGGGAGTAGGAGTGGAGATATGCGAAAGAGGAGTTAGAGAGGGGAAGGGAGGGGAGTAGATTGGAGGGTGTTGGGGGGTAGAGGGGGATGGAGTTAGCGGGGAGGGTTGTGGGGGGAGGAGAGGGAGTGGGGGTAGGTGGGAGAGTTTGGCCGCAGAGAGGCGGCGGGGGGGGTGTTGGGTGGGGGGCATAGAGGAGGGAGATGGGGGTAGAGGGGAGGGAGTGAGGGGGGTAGACTGGAGAAAGGGCGGGGGGGGGGGGTAGAGAGGTTGGGCAGGGAGTGGGGGAGAAAGGGGATGGAGGAGGGGCACCAGACGCACATTCCGGGGGTAGGTGGCGCGTCACCTCATCCTCAGCCATGATCTACCCACTGCTGGATGAAGGCCTCAACCATCGATCGGGGTCCCACGAGAACAATCCATCGTCGTCGCTTCACCTCCATCGCGCGCGTTTCCCCTCCTTCGTCTGCCCCCGTAGTTTCCTGTTGGGGCAAGTGCTGTTAGCGAGCGCCTATGAAGGCCAGCACGGTACGCGTGGTGGTGGGTGGCCAACACCACGCCCGACCGCCTTTGTCTCCCCAGAGGGGATGTTTGCACCCCACACCAGGTACTCATTTGAGGATCAGTCCAGATAATCGTCACTGGTGTTGGCCGTGAGCGGGAATTGAAAACGGGTCGCCGGGTTTGTAGCGCAGTGCGCCAACCGTTGCGCCACCACTCACTTATACGGCTATATAATGACACCCACTCTCCATTCGGCTCCTCTTCCACCTCCTCTCTCCCCACCTCGTCTCCCACCTCCTCTCTCCCCACCTCGTCTCCCACCCACGCTCCCTTCGGTCCCCCATCCGGTCGAAGAATACAGGAGGGGGAACTGAGATGGCGCAGATTTTAAATTAAACAGATTATGGCGGTGATGTTGCTACTTCTGCGTCACGAGTGGTGCACAAACAACAACAAACCCAACACAATCGTCAATTACAACCCTGTGTGTGCGTGTGCGCGTGGCCCTAAAATTAAACATCAATAAAGACGACTTTTAGGCAATGGCCCTTCTCCGAAGTGCATGGGGGGTTTTAAAAGGAGCCGCCCCGACGCGCAAGTCCGCGAGCCACGTGCACGGCGGGCACGGTGTCACGGCCAACGCGCAGGTCCACCACGCTGGTTTCTGAGTCATTCTCAACGGAATCGTGATTTTTTTTGTTCCTATTATTGTTGCTGGATCATGCCGAGATGTTCGGCGGCGGTAATCGGTGTCCGGGACGGACGCGAGACCACGTGGCCTCGTGGCCGTGCGGGGAGGGACGCGAGACCACGTGGCCGTGCGGGGAGAGACGCGAGACCACGTGGCCGTGCGGGGGAGTGACGCGAGACCACGTGGCCGTGCGGGGAGTGACGCGAGACCACGTGGCCGTGCGGGGAGGGACGCGAGACTACGTGGCCGTGCGGGGAGGGACGCGAGACCTCAATGCGGACGGTCAAGCGGCGCCACCGCCGCCAGTTCCCGCGACACGTTCACATTCCCGACGGCGGTCGAGCGAAGGTCCACGACTCGGGGGTCAGCAACCTGCAGCTCAGGAGCGCGCGTGCGGCTCTTTAAAGGACTGCTTCGTGACCGTTGTTTAGGAAGGACCCACCACTGCGGCTCTTCAAATATTGAAAAGGGCTCTTCTCGTGAGCTTGGTTTGCCGACCCGTTGTCCATGATCAACGTATGAAGCGGTAACAACCTCGCAACCAGGGGCGGTTTCTTCATTAGGGCGATTGGGCGACGCACCACCAATATCATTCAACCACAGAGTCACGCTAGCCGTCACTGTCAGCCTCTGGATATAGTCCAATCAGCGTCATGTCACGTTCTGTGGAGTACCGCCTCTTTTTGGGCGATTTCACTCCGGCTAAGAATCGCCCCGAGTGGCCCCATAGACTTACATTGAAAGATGTTTTTTTCGAACGGCGGGCGCTCCAATGCATTATCTATGGCTTTCCGGGAGGGCAAGCCCTAACGTGCTTACGTCATCATACGTGCTAACGTCATCATACGTGCTTACGTCATCATACGTAAGCACGTTTCATCCAACAATATAATTTATCGCCACCTAGTGGAATCTTCTTCTTGGTTCTTTCGGTAAAGTCACGTAGAAGGGAAGTAATAAAATAATAAAAATAAAACATAATACAATTATTCTCACGACGTTTCGGCCACAACGCAAGTTATTCTCACGACATTTCGGCCACAACGTTCCACTCACTGGCATGGTGCAGTGTGCAGAGTAATGTATGGTGTCGTAATTGTATAGTAAATATATAGCAGTGTGATACACATTAGGGTGGGTAGAATAATACATAGTGTTATATTAAAATGGATAAGGCAGCAACTGCAGCAGCAGCAGCAACTGCAGCAGCAGCAACTGCAGCAGCAGCAACTGCAGCAGCAGCAGAAACTGCAGCAGCAGCAGCAACTGCAGCTCCCTTTGATGCTGTTAATCCTGCATAATGCACATGCATATGCAGTACTAATCACATTCCTGCATTTCCCATAAATATGCTAAATTCCTCTTGATATGCAAATTCCTTTGTCAAGGCGCCCAGCTTATATATATGCTCCAAGCTCGTGTGCTGTTTCATTCAGACTCTGTCGCCTCGACGGACCTGGTTTTCACCTGAGGACGGCTGCTTGCGTTGTGGCCGAAAAGTCGTGAGAATAATTTTATTATGTTTTATTTTTATTATTGTATTACTTCCCTTCTACGTGACTTTACCGAAAGAACCAAGAAGATGAATCCCTGCAGTCACGAAAGTTTTAAATCAAAATCTAGTGGAATCTTTAATAAAATAAACTTGAGTGGTTTGTTTTAATAGTGAGTATAGAAACAAACAAGATGTATTGTAAGAGTCACTTTATTTTTCATTAATATTAAAGAAGTGAAGTTGCCTTTACATGCTTAAGCTGTTAATTTATCCATTGCATGGGTGGACCTTATCCTTATCAATCATCCAGACATTTGCCCCCCCTGAGAGATTTTGCAGGAGCCGCCACTGCTCGCAACTGTTGTACCCGTGGCACCACGGGAGGCGGGGAATTAAGGTGAGAGTGTGTGATGCATGGGAAAAGAGAAGGCGATGGGAAAGGGAAGAGAGAAGAAGAGACAGATGGGGAATGAGAGAAGGATGAGAAAGGAGCAGAGAAACGGGAGCACGGGGGTCAGGAGAGGCGAGGATGGGGAGGATGAAGAGGCTGCATCAGGGCCTCGACGCTGCTGCACGGAGCGGCGTCTGTTCTCACAGGAGGCGTCACCATGACAAGGGGATTCAGGGTGGGGGTGGCCCAACAGAAGTCACGTGGTTTACGGGAGGCGTGAGCCGAGTTAGAAAGAGAGATTTACAGACCGTCTACCGATCTCCTGCTGGATGAGGGCCTCGCCACGCTGCATCAGTCGTGCAGGGTTACTTGACCATATTTCACCGCGCTGGTGAGTGCGAGTTCATTAAGAGGTACCGTATATATAAGCATATTAAAATAGTTAATGCACCTGAGTGTTGACAATGACCAGTAACTACAAGTGCAACTCATGCACCTCCGCACGTGTATCCAGTGCACCACCACACGTGTATCTGGTTCATCACCGCACGTGTCCAACTCCCAGGGAGGAGACCTTGCCTTCCTGATGCAATGGTGCCCTCTTCTGGTCATCTTCATTCATTACTGGAAGTCCACCGCAGCCTCGCTCAACGTCTCAACTCATCCACACGAAATGTGGTCATCATGATCATCTCTATTCGGGGCCCCCCAGTCGCAGTGGAAATTCCACATTGCTATGGCACATTGTCACTCTCACAAAGGACGACCATTGATCATTTCCGACAAAGTGTGCATTTTATTCACGACTCGAAGGACGATCAACCGACTCTTAACTGGCAGCGCTGCCATACACAGCACGGTCACGTTTGCAACTTGTGCCTTACGCACGACGACATCGGCACACAAGATTGCATCTATGGCTCTCGCATCATGCCACGTTCCCACCACCACTGGGCAGCAAGCCAAGCTTGGCTTGCTGTGGAGTGTAGTGGGCACGGCCCCCAGATTCCTGGACCACGGGCCTCGATTGCACCGGGTCCACGCGGCACCCGTTCCGAAGGGAAGCTTTCACCCGAGCCGTCCTCAGAGACGAAGCTGCGATGCCACCGGGGCCAACGCGGCGGAGGAAGCGACGTGAACGGTCGACGTCATCTCCCGCTTAAGGCCAACTTCACGAATCGCACCGTGACAAAAGGATAGTGCAGGCCGGGGGGGGGACAAAAAAATCACCCACACGAGTTTCATACAATGACACACAGGGAGGACTGATCCACTGGACACAATGGCACTCTTTGCCGTCCATACGTCGCGTTCTGCACGCACCGTCGCTGCGCGTGCGTGCGGCCTTGCAGCCGCGGCGTCTTGCACGAGGAGCGCCGTCGCCGCCACGAAGCGTTGCGCTCGGCTCGACGACGCGCGAGCGTTCCTTTCCGGGCAGGCTCAGCGACGGGTCGGTGGCGGCTGTGCAGCGCAGGCACAGTAAGAGTTCGTGAACCTCCGATGGGCCCCAAGCACGTCACGCCGCCAGGCCGGACGCCCGGCGGGCGAGAGCCCACGCGTGGCCGAGGAGGCCTTCCCCGCCGGCCAGCGGGTACCTCTGGGCGGGTCGCTTGGACAGCAGGGCCGCCACCGTCTCGGCCACGCCCGCTGGTGGGCCCTCTTCGGTGGCCTCCGCCGAGGCCTCCTGAGGCGGCCTTGCCCGGCCGCATGGACGGAGAGGGTCCCACTCGCTGCCAGAGGAATCTGCCGATGCCAGAGTGGCCGAGAGTCAGACCGCTGTGCATTCGTCAGCGACTGTAGCGCGAAGTACCGCGTAACGGACACGAGATGATCGCAAACTCACCCACCGATCCTCCCACCCACCCAGTGATTTGGTGTATTACGATTCATGGTTATGATTCGATTATTTGTCCCGTTTTTTAAAAATAATTTCAAGGTAACTCGGCTTAAACTTGATAACGGGGTCGGGGGTCGTTTATTTCTATAGTTTAGTTTGGGCCATTGGAATGAATCTAACAGGCGTGCCACGGTGGTGAGATGTTAACTACCTCGCCTGGTATGCAGGAGGTCGTGGGTTCGATCCTGACCATGACACCTGTATATTTGGAGTTTGCATGTTCTCTCCATGGTCATGTGGAATATTTCTCCCGATTTTTTCCCTCCACATTTAGAATCAACGTGCATTGAGAGTATTTGGCTGATATCAATTTCCACATAATAAGCCACTTCGTTGGGACAGCATTTGTGGGCAGGACGCTTCTGAAAAAAGAGCTATACACTTTAGTGGGCCTTACCTGGTAAGATAAAAAAAATTGTTTAGTTTGTAGTTTGAGTTTAGAATCTCTTGCACAATCACGATCGGAGCAATAACGCAGAGGCGGCTTCTTGCGAGCAAGACGCACGTACGCTACAAGCATTGCGAGCGCACGACTCGAGTTCAATCGACGCGTCATTGCAGGACCACTTAGGGAACGCTTGCTGAGTGCGACATTAACCCAAATTGCATCCGCGCTAATGGGCTATTACACTTCACTCAAATGTCCTTTATTATCGTTGCAGGTGAAAGCTCAATGGGATGCGTTATCTCCTGGGCAGGCCCGGGCTTGGCTGACCCAAGCCATGTCGTAGTGGGGGGGGCGTTATTAATGTTTATACTTAACATGGCTGCCAGCGATATTGAACTGTGCGATGTAATCTGTGGGACTCTTGCGTCGGGCGAACGGCTCACTTTGCAAACCGTTCACCGCGGGAAGTCTTTAATATCCACTCCTCCTCCGCCCATCATCACGTGTGCCCTCCCTCTGCCCTGAAACACGTCCACCCCCTCCGCTCCATCCCCAACAAGAGATAATTTTTCTGCAAAACGACCTCAACGCACGTGTCCAGGCACTCTCGCGCAGCATCCCGCGGGAGCGAGTCGCGTGTTAAACATCGGTCTAATCTCGTACCGTAACGCGTATGTAGGTATGTATGTTGAACTTATTTAGCACCACATGTAGCCAAGCGTGCTAATTGGAGGTGTGGGGGAAGGACAACAAACTAATTTTTTTTTTAAGAAATTAGTTTTAAATCTAGATTTAAATGTGCACATCTCCAGTGGCTTCCTAATATCGTTCCAGACGGCCGCAGAAGCGCACCCGCAAGGGCGCGATGCAGTGACCGTCTTTGTCCAATGGCTAGCCAAAAGCCGCTGCGGGTGAGGATGTTCGCGTGATGGTTTATGCTCCTTGACGGGATCATAAGCGAGATGCGTGGCCCCCTTTCTCAATCCACTGCTGGATGAGGGCGGCTTACCTCTCGCGGGAAGGCCGCGAGCCACCACCCACCTGGCACCTCGACCCAGCACACCCACCTGGCACCTCGACCCCGCACACCCACCTGGCACCTCGACCCCGCACACGTGCGTGCCCTCGGAGCCCAGCCGTCCCCGCAGCGCCACGCAGAACGCAGCCAGCGCCGCCGCTGCCACCGCCTGCGGGCCGCCCGCTGGCGCCTCGACCGCTTAAGAGTGACAGCGGGGCGGGGGGGACATAGTAGAGAAAAGCAAGCCGGTTAGAACGTTCAGGATAAATCGTGGGGAATATTTTTCTTCCCGAGGGCCCAATAGGACTTTTGAATCGCCTTGGCAGGGAACCACAAGGTAGATGGCACAAAATAACAGATGAATGGTAGAAAAAAAAAATGGTTGGTAAGTTAGTGAAAATATTAAATATGACCCAAAAATAAAATGTGACCGAAACTATGGACCATATAGTAAACCAGGAGGAATAACAAAACGACGTGAACTTTCTCTCTCTTCATGGCTAGCAGATCTGGAAATTGGCATCTAGCTCCCCAACATATTGCCGTACGCAAGAAATAGATTCCCCTCTAGTGCCCGATTAGCGCGGCGATGATGCTCGTAGTGGGCGCCACGGTGGTGAGATGTTAACTATCTCGCCTGGTATGCAGGAGGTCGTGGGTTTGATCCCGACCCTGACGCCTGCTGTATATTTAAAGTTTGCGTGTTCTCCCTGTGGTCGTGTGGATTTTTTTCCTGGTCATCAGGCTTTTCCCTCCAAATAAAAAATCAACATCATGCGTTTAGAGCATTTGACTGCTCTACATTTCCACATGATAAGCCACTTCGTTGAGCTGTCATTTGTGGTCAGGTTGCTTCTGAAAAAAAGCTACATAGCTCAGTGGGCCTTACGTGGTAAGATACAAAATAATTGTTCAGTTTTATTTGTATATATTTTTAAGTGATTTGTTACCTTTCCTATAAATTGCACTCCTATTTTGTTTTCGTATTGTTTGTTGTTGTAACGTTCTGACCCGCCCCTACTGGACAGATGTGTAAAAGAGCTTCATAGCTCATCAGATTCCTCCAGTCTCGTTAAATATTCAGATTCTTCCTTGTTGTCATCTACATCTCTTTCCGGCCACGTTCAATTCTCAACCTCCAAGTTGCTGCGCCGATAGTTTATTTTAGACCGTCACTGCGACCCCCCGACCCCCGACCCGTACCAGTGCCGGGCCCCACAAACACCACCCTCCCGCAGGCCCGCCGCACGAGTGGCAGAAAGACCCCCGCCAGCTCCATGGGGGCCAGAAGGCCGCGCTCCAGGCCACGCCGGTAGGCCCCGACGTCGGGCACCTCCGAGAGCATCCCCACGCCACATGGGGCACGGCCGTCGGCAGCCGCCACGACCACGAGCCCCCACAGACCTGCACGGGACACGCGGTCACAGTCACACCGAGCGCGAGCGAACACGAAGTTGGGCAATGCCTGCACGTGTGGGGGGCCGTGCACGTTGTATTGAGGGGCTGCGTGTTGTCGTGGTGTGGTCCGGCACTGGTTGTGCTGTTGTTTTGCTACCTTGTCCAAGCTTGGGAATTGGCGTAAGTTAAGCGTACAGTGAAACCTTGGATTGCGAGTAACTTGGTCTGCGAGTGTTTTGCAAGACGAGCAAATTTCTTTTATAAATATTAATTTGATAAACGAGCGAGGTCTGGCAATACGAGTAGTACGTATAAGCTTTGTCTGCCGAGCATCACGTGATCACAACTGATATACGACTGCTTTGATATACGAGTGCTTTGGATTACAAACACGTTTCCGGAACGAATTATGCTCGCAATCCAAACTTTTACTGCATATACTTTTATCTATTTTACATATTTATTTTTAGTGATTTGCTTACCTTTCCTATACTTTGCACTCCTATCATTGTTGTTGTAACAACATCTGTGAAAAAGAGCTTAATAGCTCATCAGATTTCGACCGGATAAATAAAGATTCTCATTCCATGAGACGATGGTGCGACCCTACAAGAGCTCACTCGCACCACTGTGTGGTGGCCTCCAATGGAGATTGAGCTCCAGAAAAATCCATCGAGGGGGCACTTGGCCTACTCTTCCATACTAGCCAGGAATCTTGGAAGAGATGCAAGGCACCCACACTTTACCCCGCCGCAAATGACTTGCCCATCGACTGTGGCGTGTGCCCAGTTATCCAGCTGGGATTTAAGCAACGTGCCCAATGTTTCAGCTGCCATGCCAGGAGCCCAGTGTGCTGACCATTCTACCTCCTGAAAGAACATCAGCATGAGCAGCCCCACGCGGTGCCGAGGGAACGCGCGTTGAGTCGCTGTGGAACTCAGGGCATCTCGGGTCTGGCCGTGGGGGTGGGCGATCGGTGCGGGCGACCGAGACGCAAAAAGGGGTCTCAGGGGGCGGCGAAAAAGCACAGGCGACGGGAGAAAACGGGACCCTCACCGTCAGCCCCCACGAGCGAGCGGACCTCCTTCTCCGCAGCGGTGACACTCCGAGGGTCGCCGGGTTTCAGGCCCAGCACGTGGACCGGGCCGGGCCGACCGCTCGCCGGGTCGCCCGAGGGGTCAGGGGTCAAGTCGCCGGCGATACGGCCGGCCTCCGCGTGCGATGAGGCCCTCACCCCGACGAAGACGCGGCAGCCGAGCTCGGCGAGACGCCGGGCCAGCACGTGACTCGCGGCCGACTCGCAGCCTGGTAGCACGCATAAAGACAAAGATCAGCTGTATAGCCTAAACACACTGTTGGGGCAAGTGCGGTCAGCAAGCACCTATGAAGGCCGGCACGATACATGAGGGAGTGGGTGGCCAGCACCATGCCGGCTGCTTTTGTCTCCTCAGTAGCGGTGTTTTTAGAGACCAAACCAGATACTCATTAGAGTCGACCTAGGGGAGGCCCAGGACTGGTTCATATAACTGTCATTGGTGTTGGCCGTGCGCAGGAATTGAACTCGTAAAGCAGCGCGTTAACCACGATACTACCGCTCCCCACAGTGGCATGCATATGCATGCACGCACACACACACACATCCAGGGAGGCGTGGTTATTGGGCTATGGGAAAAACCCGACCGTACGTGGGCATGCCCACGCTCAACCGGGTGGTGCTCACGGATCATCACACTCGATGATGCGGGGCAGGTCTATCAGACAGGAGGTCTGGCAAGGGGGCGATGGATCACGTTGATACCTGGGAAGAACTTCCGAAACGGTGGCCCCGTTGATAGCTTCGTGACTACTGCTCCAATTGCAGGCGAGCAGGAGTAGGAATAACGATATAACGATGTAAACAGTTAAAATCACCACCAGGACTCGACAAATGTGTGGTGGAGTGATTGAGGTCGGTGTGGTGGAACAGTGCTGAGGTCCGCAACAAACACCTCCTTCTCCTCGATGATGTCGAGCTAAGACGGCAGCTGAAGGGATACGAGACGCACGGAAATTAAACCACTTAAACTATTTTATATTTTACCAGGTAAGGTCTACTGAGCTATGTAGCGATTTCGTAGAAGCGACCTGGCCACAAATGATAGCTCAACCAAGTGGCTTGTCATGTGGAAATGTACAGCAGCCAAATACTCTCGGCGCATCTTTCTACATGTGGAGGGAAAAACCGGAGGACCCAGAGAAAACCCCACAAGACCACGGGGAGAATACGCACATTCCAAATATACAGGCATCAGGGTCAGAATTGAACCCACGAGCGCTTGCATACCAGGCGAGGTAGTTAACATCTCACCTCGGCACCGTCCTCAAGTGGGAGATCAAAAATTCCCACGAAGAACCGCAATCGGATCGATTCCAAATCGAATACTGCCCTTCCCCCCCTTTACTCCACAAGTGGGAGATCAAAGCTTTCAGTAAACATGCAAGCACTAGGCCAACGCTGGGCCACCTGCAGGTCAACTTTTGCAAGTTTACTGTGATAGTCCTCAATGCGACTGCAGAGATGGAGACCAAACAGAGTGAATGCGTCGCCAGCTCTCGCCCACAGCAACACTTCACGGGAAACGGCGAGCGGATCAACGAGACCGCCACACGAAGGCTCACGACACCGCGACATTCTTGTTTAGCCTTTCAGAAGCAGAATATTTGTTTTAGACTGGAGGAATCCGATAAGCTAGGAAGCTCGTTTTCACAGATGTTCAGTATGAGCGGGTTGACAATCTCCAAATAAGAGCGAGATGGAAGGCGGCCGGTTAAGGCAATAGGAAACATGGTCTCATTCTGCAAGATCATCCTGCTGGGTTGAAAGAATAAGTTTGATTTCTAATTCGTGCGGGTGAAGCAAAGCATCAGTAACACAAATATGAACAACAAAGTATGAATAATAATTCATATAACTGGTGAATTGGCTCTCATGAAAGCCATAGTCTGGAAGATAACGATGACTGTGATGATAACGACAATAATAATGGGCATTTTGACGATGGTCATTGTGATGTTGATGATCAGTGGCGTAAATATCGAGTGTGCAGGTGGTGCAACTCCACCAGGGCCGACGGGCACAGGCACCGGGCTCCAAAAAGGGAGGAAGACAAACAGGGGGACCCCATTGTGCTCCTTGCACGGGGCCAATGCCAACCACACTCCACTCCTGACAACGACGACGATGATTATGACGGTGCTGGGCATGATGATGATGTTTGCGATAATGAAGTGTGCCTGCTGAGCAATGGTGGGACCTAAAAAAGAGAAGGGCAGACAAACGTCTGCTGCCCGAGAGAGCGAGAGAGCGAGAGATGGAGAGCGACACAGAGAGAGGTGAGACAGAGAGTAAGTGAGGCGGGGGTGGCGACGACAACAACGACGGGAGGCAAGACGGAAATAACGGGAACCTGGGAGCGAGAGATAAGGCGCGGTTTGGATTTATAACGCGTCTGAATGTGCCCCCGCGTCTCAAGACGGTGTGAAACTGGGGGGGGGGGGGGGGGGGGGGCATCGAGAGGGCGAGTGAGGAAGAGGGGGGGGTGTTTGTTATTTTCGGAAGTGAGAGGGGCGGGAGGGGAGAGCCAGGCTGCAGGCACACAAGAGGGAGATTAAAGTCGGGTAAATGTGACACTGAAGGCATTTCACAAGTTTGTATTTCAAAGAGAAAGCATTCCACTTATTAGAATTAATAACAATTTATATAATGTTCCTCTCAAGATATGTATTTATTAAAAAGACAAATGATCAAAATTTTAATCGGAGTCCTGGCTTTAAATAAGATATCCACTCCTGGATGAAAACTACCGCCACTTCCCTCCCCCTGCCCATCAGAACCAGAATCTTTATTTGTCCAGGAATCCGATGAGCTATGAAGCTCTTCTTCACAGATGTCCCACGCGGTGCGAGTCGCGGAGTTGTCTTTTGACCGTACAGTAAAACATTGGATTGCGAGCATAATTCGTTTCGGAAACGTGTTTGTAATCCAAAGCACTCGTATATCAGTTGTGATCACGTGACGCTCGGCAGACAAAGCGTATACACGTACTACTCGTATTGCAAGACCTCGCTCGTTTATCAAATTACTATTTATTTTTAAAAAAATGCTCGTCTTGCAAAACACTCGCAGACCAAGTTACTCGCAATCCAAGGTTGTACTGTACTTCCACAGGGCTGGTCAATGTGCGTCCAGTCAAAGGTTATCTCCATCAATTCTAAGGCCGGCATCGACTCGCTTGATGCGATCCGTGCCACAACACTTTTCCACAACAGGGCGTGGGCCAACATAAAAAGATATTTTTTACGAGGGCCAACCAACATCAATCCGCACGCTTCTAGTCACTTGTTTGTTGTGTTTCCACCGCACCTGTCATGAGCACGGTCGGCTCCGTACGGCGACAGACGCGGCTGAGCGAAGGGCAAAACATAAACGTGATGTTGTCATTCCGTTGCCTTCTAGTACCCGATTAGCGCGGCTATAGATGCCGGCAGTGACAGATCGATTTCATTAGCGGTGCCCTCGCAAAGCGCGGGTGGCCGGGTTCGTAGCACAGTGCGCTAACCGTTATACCACCGCTCCTCACAGCAATGTCATTGGCAGATCACAAAGCGATGCTTTCTAAGGTCTCCCCTATAATATTCTGATAACACTATGACTTAAATATTTTCCTTAAAGTCTCGGGCCGTATTGGGCGCACGTCCCAGCGGGTTAACCACAACAACCAATACCAAATACCCGCCACTCGCCACGAAGTGACTGACGGTGACGTCGCCACGGCGCTTGTGCCAGGCTAGGTGCACTTCGAGGCCACTTGAAGTGTCGAAAGCTCGCCGACAGGTCACGGGGCAGACCCGGGTGCCATGGGTTGACTGACTGAGATTACTGGCAGATGCACCAGCTCTGCCCCCTACTGTGCCAACTCGCTGTATTTTATCGCCCAGCGCTCCGCTCGTTGTTGTGAGCTCTTCTGCCCTCCGTTGTCGCTGCTGCAGTAGCAGCAGCAGCGTCCTTCACGAACCTCCACAGAGGCCGATCTCGACACCGCTGGTACCGGTCTTCGGCAAGTCCACTCAGCCCCCACATCCTCCCGTACCACATCAGTCTACAATCTCTACCCCAGCCCCCCCAGCCCCCCTCTATGCGGCCAAACAGAAGCTACTTGGGCATCGTCCCCTGGCCGGGCATGCGGGCTACGTGACCCAGCCAACGCAGCGGCCGCAGCCTGCCCGAGAAGAAGCTGACCGCTGACGAGCAACGTGGCCCAGCAAGAGCCACGGCCACGAGATGGCCTGTTGACAACGAGCCCCGTACCGACGATGAGCACTGCCCTCCCGGCGGCGGGCAGCGAGGCGGTGAAGGGCAGCGTGGCGTAGGAGAGGAGGCAGGCGAGCGCGAAGGCGAGGAGGCCCGGCGCCCCGGGCGCGACGGCTGCGCACAGCGGCTCGCCCATGAAGAGCAGCAGGAGGCTGCAGGCGGCGCGCACCCCGGGCCGCAGGCGGGCCCGCAGCAGGCGGTGGCCCACGGCCACGCAGAAGACGGCCGACACGGCCCCGTAGAGGAGGGCCAAGCGGGCCCAGCCGCCCGCGGCCCCGTGGGCCACCAAAGCCGGCGTAGCTTCAGCCTCCTCCTCCATTGGGGTGTCCCTGCCAGAGGCCGGGTCCGCGTCTACAATGCCCCTCTCCCTCCTCCCAGGTCCTTTCCACGACCGTGCCCTGCCAGGAGCCCTGCCAGGAATCCTCTTCCCACTTGCCCTGCTTGCAGGCCGACCTTATTACTTGACCAGATAATAGGGCGAGTCTTGCTTCGTTAATGCCCTTCTGGCGTGCGCTGTCCTGGAAGCCGAGCTTACATCAGATTGCCCGTCTGGCTTTCTACGTTAGGTCAAGTGTGCCCTGATAAGGACAGAAACTGCTCCCGATTGCCCTAACCGACCTTCCCTGATGGGGGCAACTCCGAGGCTGCCCCTATACATGCTGCTCTTCACTGCCCTTCTGCCCAGCCATGCCCCCGAATGCTCAGACGCCCCCTGCGAGAGACGTATGCCTCCTCCTCCCAGAGGGCCACCCCCTAACCTGACAGAACCGCCGCTCTAAATGCCCTTCTGTCAAAACCTTGCCCACGAATGCCCATCTGGTCTGCCGTGCCGGAGACCGTCCTTGGCCCCTGACTGCCTCCCACCGTCCTTCAGTCTCCCCCTGATTGCCCTGCCGTCCATCCCATGCCCCATGAATGGCCCTTTATGCCTGCGAATGCCCTGCGAATGCCCTCATGGGCGCACCGCCCGGGTCGGCCACAGCTGTTTTGTGTTCATGGGGTTGCGAGATTGGGGCGATTTAATTTCCTAGTTCGCACGCGCAACGGGCGGCGTGAGTCGGATAACGGAGCCGGCGCTGAAGCGGGCTACGAATTCTAAACGTGCGTCTGCGTGCCCACGTGACGTGGGGGCAGTGCTGCCCGCAGAGAAGTGGCGGCGGGCATCTTGGGAAGGGAAGCACAGCAGCCAACTATAGTTCATAGGCGACGTTTCGGACAATGGTCCATCTTCATGGCACATTATGGATGAAGGTCCATTGTAAAACACGTAACACATTGGTCAATGAAAACTGTGGTCTTGAAAGAAAAACTAACAGGTGACGTTTCGGGCAATGACCCTTCATAGCAAATGGAAGAAAGGGTCATTGCCTGGAACGTCGCCTATTAGATAGTTTTACTTTAAGGTTACATACACACAGTGTCAATTACGAATGTGTTGAGTTTGTGTTATTTGTGCACTGCCAATCATGCACGCAGTATATTACTAAATAATATAATCAGCCAAGAGAAACACCGCCCTTAAAATTACTCTCCATTAGCTTCAGCCTGAATTAAACTGTTTAACCTTATCACGTGTAATCTTATGTGAAAAAACAAGCCCTTTATTTAAAAAATAATCCGTTAACCCAACCTGATAAAATCGCAAAAAACGCGGAAATGTGGCCCGACGTTGACAAATGGCAAATCTTTAAATACATTTTGCCTGGATGCCTTATGCATTCATATTCTAGACAATTGCGGTACAGTACAGTAATTAACTAAATTATGGATTCTAGATTTGAAGCTTTCATGACTGCAAGGATTCATACTCTTTGTTTTTTTCGGTAAAGTCACGTAGGTAAAAAATAAAATAAATGAAAACTAAATTAAATCACACACTTAAGCGGTTGTGCTTTCGCTACGTTGTCCTCGCCTGAAGAAGGATGCTTGTGTTGCGCCCGAAACGTCGTGATTAATTTAGTTTTCATTTTATTCTATTAGATTTTTTACCTACGTGACTTTACCCAAAAAAAACAAAGAGTATAAATTATGGATGTTTAAAATATTGCGGCAGTTTCATTGCGCTCAATAGAGGTGATAAGCACCGAGTGTACCTCAAATTATTACATTTATAAACACTATAACGTTTTTGGGTAATTTTAATCAATTACATGTATATTTTAACTCTGGGCCTCGTGTTTTTCCTTTTAAGGCTACAGTGCTATTATCAACTGTTCAGTTTTCGTTAACTCGCTTGTGCACCATTGCCAACCCAGCAGCAGCACAAGATAATTTGTGAGAATTTGGATGTCCAAAAAAATCACAGCCCTGCGGTTATTTGGTTTCCAACCATTAGGCAGGTTCAGCTTAACGTTCAACAATCGCCTAAAGCCTATCTAAACACAACCCATGAGAATAGGGTTTCCCTTTTTTTCTGGCAACAAAACAGGTGTTAAGATGTTAAAACACCAAACTGAAACCTTTTACAAGGAATCATGTCTGTATTAACCACAATACTCGCAGGGCTGTATACTCGCAGTATTGTGGTTAATGCAGACATGATTCCATGTAAAAGGTTTCACTTTGGTGTTTTAACATCTTAACACCTGTTTTGTTGCCAGAAAAAAGGGGAAAACCTATTCTCATATTTTGGTACTGGCAAAGGAGGTCCCATGATGTAACTTACAACCCATCTCCATCATTGGCTAACCAAGACATGTACCTCCATCAGAGGGATATCAAGTTCAAGTTCATTTATTAGGTAGAGCCCTGTGAGCCATTCGGCTCTTGAATGGGGATATACTACACTTAATACAAGTGCGCAACTCCTGCCATCACCAGTTTAGCTGCACATTCTACAATGTCCAGGTGGACACCGTTTTCTGCACGAAAACGAATTTGTGACACCATCCCATCAGCCCCACGGCCTTCTGGAAGTGCATTATACAGCATTGTTTCAGGACAATAAACTGTTTTTACTTTGACGTGTACCTTCTCCGCAACGACGATAGTGATCAATAGACAATAGGTCTCGTTTACATATCTGCCCTCTCCACACTAAATATAAAAAGTGTTTTCATACCAGGGCTGTATTATCCAGTAAGGCCACGAAAACTAAAGGTCATTCGAAAACTAAATTTGACTGTTTTTTTTTTGGGGGGGGGGTTATGAAAAATGTATAACCTAGATATCTTCTTTAATACACATATTTATAAAGTTGCATGGGTAGGCACAGTGTATGTAAAAAGAGGCAGAGACATGTTAATGTCAATGCTTCTTTTTGTCATAAGGTGAGAGAATGTAACACTGGAGAACATGCAAAATTAACAAAAACATTTTCAAATGGTGTTTTCTTACAATTAAGCGAGTGACCGCGGCGGTAGTTACATGGGCAGCTGTACCATTTGAGGGACTTTATCAATGAAGCCCTACAAAACAGAAGTGCCTAGGGCCTACACGACCCATAGCTGTAAACCAATACAGTTTACCCCGTATTCTTGTACGCAGGTCCATACCGCCTACAGCCGTTTCAATACGGGCAAAACATGTGTTGTCTATTTGTTTGTGTTTCTCCCTTGTGATAGGACTTAGTAGGATGAACCTTGAGATGTATAATGACACATGTGACCAATAAGGTCTGAATTGACAGTTATGAACTTTAATCCGGCCCTGGTTCATACATCCCATAAGTTGAACGAACGTATGGGGGTGAGGGGGGAGGAGTGTATAATGTCAGCAGCATTGATTCAAGACGAGCAAACTTTTTGACGTTTCCATCGTACAGAACGACGATGGTCGAAAATAAACAGACGACAAGTCTCCTTCACATATCAGTGCCTCCACCCAACTGAGTTTCAACAAATCCCATCAACCAAAGGGCTTTCCGGCAGGGAATTATTCCCAGCAGCATCGCTTCAACCCAGAGACACACACACAATGGGTTTGTGAAGTCTCCTTCACATATCAGTGCCTCCACCCAACTGAGTTTCAACAAATCCCATCAACCAAAGGGCTTTCTGGCAGGGAATTATTCCCAGCAGCATCGCTTCAACCCAGAGACACACACACAATGGGTTTGTGAAGTCTCCTTCACATATCAGTGCCTCCACCCAAATGGGTTTCAACAAATCCCATCAACCAAAGGGCTTTCCGGCAGGGAATCATTTCCAGCAGCATCGCTTCAACCCAGAGACACACACACACCATGGGTTTGTGAAGTCTCCTTCACATATCAGTGCCTCCACCCAACTGAGTTTCAACAAATCCCATCAACCAAAGGGCTTTCCGGCAGGGAATTATTCCCAGCAGCATCGCTTCAACCCAGAGACACACACACAATGGGTTTGTGAAGTCTCCTTCACATATCAGTGCCTCCACCCAACTGAGTTTCAACAAATTCCATCAACCAAAGGGCTTTCCGGCAGGGAATCATTCCCAGCAGCATCGCTTCAACCCAGAGACACACACACAATGGGTTTGTGAAGTCTCCTTCACATATCAGTGCCTCCACCCAACTGAGTTTCAACAAATCCCATCAACCAAAGGGCTTTCCGGCAGGGAATCATTCCCAGCAGCATCGCTTCAACCCAGAGACACACACACACAATGGGTTTGTGAAGCCTTCTTCACATATCAGTGCCTCCACCAAACTGGTTTTCAACAAATCCCATCAACCAAAGGGCTTTCCGGCAGGGAATTATTCCCAGCAGCATCGCTTCAACCCAGAGACACACACACACACACAATGGGTTTTCTCCCCCATAGTAAGATGGTGCCCCACGGCGTCTCTCCCCCCACCCCTACCACTAAAACCACGGCGAGTGCCTGGACGTCACTGCTGAGGAGCAGGAGGAGGGAGGAGGAGGAGGCGGCGAGTTGCCGCTCCTCGCTCCTCCTCGCCCGCCCGCCTTGGCCACTGGGAGACGAAGCGAGCAAGGGACCGACCCACCGACTCCGCTCGCTCTCTCTCGACTCGGTGGCCTGTTGTTTCTCCACATTTGGTCAACGTTTCAGCGGGGGCATCGCCGGCACCGGCGCGTCCCAGGCAAACGAAGGGGGGCTGGTCTCCCTGCGGAACGCGCGCACCATCGAGCTCCTAAGAGGTTGAACAGAACAATTCATATCCAGGAGGTTGACCCAAAAAACAAGCCCCCAACCCCATTGTTACCTCGGAGGCCTTCCACCGCACGCCATGGCCGACGTGGAGCTGACGCTCACCGTGCTCGCCTACGCCAAGATGCAGCTGCACGCCGCACGCTACCCGCACTGCCCCGTGAGCGGGGTGCTGCTGGCCGCGCGCCGCGCCGACGAACATCGGACGGACGAGAAGATGGACCGCGAGGAGCGGGACGAGGGCGACGTCGCGGCCGCCGAGCAGGGAGACCGGGAGGCCGCAGGCGGCGGCCACCGCCACCACAACGGAGGAGAGAACGGCCCCAGTCGGGCCGTGCTGCTGTGCGATGCCGTGCCGCTCTTCCACGCCGCGCTCTCCCTGGCGCCCATGATGGAGGTGGCCCTCTCTCTGGTGAGGGAGCTCCGTTGTTCTTGCTCTGGACCCCCGTGCCTCCTCGGGCCTTGTCGGCTCGGCGGGCGAAGCCTGGCCGGGCAACTAGGCCGAGTCGGGGCGCAGCTGGAGGCGGGCGGGTCTGGGGTTGCCACCGGTCCCGGGAATCATTAATCGGCGTCTTGTGATCGGAATTGATTCGTAACGATATCTGGTACCGATCATTGCGTCGAACTGTATTGTTTTTTTGGAGGTCAGATCGCCTCGTGAATAAAATGCCAATCGTGTGTGTCGTACAACCCTCCTCCACCCGACACTGCCAAATTAGAGCTATTACTGTTTCAGCGTCCCGCCTTTGTCTGATAACAATCCACACACATTTAATTATTTGGTACGACGTTTCGCGCTGAACCACAACCAGCATCAGGCGATTGCCAGAATTGTGAGTGTCGTGGCAGTGTCGGGTGGAGGAGGCTGCACGACACACATTGGGAGTTTACTCACGCGATCTGTCTCAAAAAAACATCTATAATGAGTCGTAATATTGGTCGCGAAAGCCTGCTTTTGTGTTAAATGTGTTACAGTGTGCTGCATAGTACTGATCGACAAAGGCTGGCAGAGAAATATGAGCTAACCCCATAGGTCCATGTCATGTTGATGTTTGCTCTGTGCGGGTCTTGTTTCATGTATGTGTGTGTTTGTTGAACTTATTTCGCCAACCGTGCTAATCGGAGGTGTGGAGGTTCATGACATTGAGCGATGGGACCTTTTCTTACGGGGAAGGGGAGTGGGGAGGGGGAATCAATATCCCCATTAGGCATGGTAAATCCACTGCTCGATGAAAGCGTCAACCACGTCGTGCTGGTCACCCGTGCTGGTTATGTTTGACCGTATACTTTGCGTATGTATGTAGAACTACTTTCGCACCTTACATAGCCGACCAAATGCTGCCCATTTGGGGTTGGCGAAGGTAGCGGAGGCCAGGACCGGTTTGGAGAATAACTTGCCACTCATGTCAGCTGTGGCCGATTATTATCGAACTCTGATTGCCAAATATTTTGCATGACGCGTGAACTGCTACACTACCACTCCGCTCCGAACAGAGGTTATTTACTACTATAAAGAGCCAAGAATGTCTGTGTGTCCCGCGCGTGACGTCACTCCACATCGACTAGCCCCTCTCATTAATAATCATGAGCGGGTGACGTCACTCCGCATGTTGAACCTCCCACCTCATTAATAACCATGAGCAGGTGACATCACTCCGCATGTTGAACCTCCTGCCCCTCATTAATAATCATGAACAGGTGATGTCCTCAGCGTCAACTTATAACCCTCACTACAAAGGCAGAACCCTCACGTCACGTGATCTCTGTAACGCGATTGAGACATCGATGTAAAAAGGACGTCATGATGAACAAGGGATTATAACCTTTAAATGGTCTGTGTCACCGCGGCCTTACAAATTGCGCACGAATGGATGCAATGAATATCATGTCGCGGTCTGCCTTTCGCTTGCAAGTTTCAGATTTACTGCAAGACACCCGTCCTTGGACGGGCAAAAGGCTAGTATATCTTTAATCGGCTCAACCCTCCCATCACATGACTTGTGTGTGGCCATCCCCACTGAATCCCGCCCCTCGCCCCACCTCCTGTGAAAACAGCAGCTGCTCCATGCAGCTCAGTTCTACTCGCTCCTTCCTTCCTTCTCTTCTACTCTTTCCTTCGCTTCTACTCTTTCCTTCGCTCTCGTGACTCTCGCATCCCTGCCATCTGAGTCATTCATCCTCCCCAGCGTTCCTCCTTCGTGCTGCTCTTTTGAGCCACGCCCTCTGTGCGCGCCTCGACTCCCCTTCTTTCCTGTGGTGTGGCACGGGTAAAAGGTTTTGCGTTATATAAATGTTGTTGTGTTCATGTTTGTTCGTGTGTACTTTCAGATCGATGCGTGGTGCAAAGAGCAGGGCCTGGCAATCGCAGGATACTACCAGGCCAACATCAACGTCAACGACTCGAGGTGTCAAGAGCATCGAGACCCATGGCTTAGTGTCCACAGCGCTAACAGCGATAACTAGCCGTGTCACGGTGGCGGCCAGGCAGGATGTGAGAACAAACAGTGAGATTGGGGTCATGGAGTCCATGGTAATGTAGAGCTGGAAGACATCAGCAGTTTCAGTCGAATGGCCTTCACAGAAACCACTTTGTGCCCGGTCATGGAAGCCATGGGGAGGTGTTTGGCAATATGGGATAAAATAACCCTTTAACAGACTCTTAAAAAAGAAAGGCAGGTTTGAGATGGTGCGTTGGTGCGTGCGTGCATGTGTATTGGACGTGGCATAGTGGTTAGCGCACTGCTATACGAACCCGGCAAGCCGAGTTCGATTCCTCTCATGACCAATAAGAGTGATGATTATTTGAACTGGTGCTGGGCCTCCCTTAGGTTGACACACCCTTAAATGAGTACCTGGTGCAGTGTGTAAACATCATCACTGGGGAGACGAAAGCGGACAGGCGTGGTGTTGACCACGCACCCCCCGTGTGCCGTGCCAGCCTTAATAGGTACTCGCTAACAGCTCTTGCCCTAACAGTGTATTAAAGGCTATACGGGGGATGTTTGTCTTTGGGTGCTGCGTCCCACAGGCCAAACGTGGTCGCTCACAAGGTAGCCGATCGGATCCTGGACAACTTCCGTGACGCCACTCTCGTCATGGTAATCACGCCTTGCATCGACACGTAGTTCCAAACTTGTTTTATCCACTTCTGCAGAGGGTTGTTGTTGTCATGGGGTTGTTGTTATGGGGTGATTGTTTTTGTCAGCCTGTAACTTGCCACTGCTGGCCAAAGACCTCTCCCAATTTTTCCACTTTTCCTTTGTCGTGGCCTCCAAATTAATTTATTTCATCTCGCCATCTCTTCCGCTTGCTTTGATTGGGGCGCCGCAATGGCGAGATGTTAACTACCTAGCCTGGTATACAGGAGGGCGTGGTTTCAATCCCGACCCTGGCGCCTGTATATATGGAGTTTGCATGTTCTCCCTGTTGCCGTGTGGATATTTCTCCAGGTCGTCTGGTTTATCCCTCAATATTTAAAATCAACATACGTTGAGAATATTTGGCTGCTATAAATTTCCACATGATAAGGCCACTTAGTCGAGCTATCATTTGTGGCCAGGTCGCTTCTGAAAAAGACCTATATAGCTGAATGGGCCTTACCTGGTAAAATAATAAATAGTTCAATAGTCGCTAATTTTGTCAGTCTCTCGCTCTGTCGCTCATTGTCCTCACAATGTCGCCCTGCCCATTCACACGCGATTTCCACTGCGAACACCGCAATCAAAACCGCCCGGTTCTGATGTTGCGTGTTTGTGTGTGGCTCCTGACACCCATTCAGCTGGACAACAAGCGCATGAGTTTGGAGCACCAGGAGCCGGCCATCTGCGTGTACGAGAGCCAGGGCAGCGCACAGTGGCGAAGGAAGGACCTCAACCAGTGAGTAATGCCAGAGCTTCACATTTGACTGGGTATTTTCCAGGTTGATGGTTGACTGGAGTAGGCGGGTATGTTGACAAGAAGCCACATCCCACAATGAGAGGCATTATACTGGATGCAGCGTGTTATTGGTGGTGTGGAAATGTTTTCTGGGTCTCCGACATCAACAGACCAGGCTAATATTAAGCCCGGCAATACCGTCCTTTCCTATGAAATTGTAACCAAAACCATTGCAAACTTGTGAGGCCAGCCAGGGCGGGGGAGGCGTGGCAGCTGGCTTGGCTGAGCAGGGCCCATCTCGGGTGTCACGAGATTCGAGCCAGCAGCTCGTCGGCGAGCCTCAATCGCGTCCCACTTTGTACTGAAAATCTGTGAAAAAGAGCTTCATAGCTCATTGCATTCCTCCATTCTAACTAAAGATTCTGATTTGTACATAGCGATTTACTCAAGCTCCAGCGACGAGATAAATAAATTGCAGTGGCCTGGGGTCGCCATTTGACTGAGGAATCGAAAACTTTTTTTATGTTCCAGCTTACTGATTGGCTATTTATCCAGACAACCAATATACAAAACAACATCTAACTGTGGAGGCCACATGAGAGTCCTCGTTTCTACTACTGAAAACATGCGCAGTAGTGTATGGCAAGAGGTGAGAAGAAATATTCAGCACGTGGCCTCACCTGGATTACGTGCCTGTGAAACCACTTCTGGTTTAACCAAAATGCCACGTGCTTTTTTTGTAGCCCGCCTCTCACCTCCCCACTTTTCTTCCTAACGCCACTTGTCGTGGGGCAGGGTCCTCCTGGAGCGAGAGGCTCTCCCCATCACGGGATCGCTGCTGGGCTCGGGCGAGCACAGCCGACTGGTGGACTTCGACGCGCACCTAGCGGACATCCGGCAAGACTGGAGAAACCCGGAGGTGGCTCGCTCCATACAGCTGCTCTGCTGAGTCCCGGGATGATGAAAGGCCTCCTCACAAACTGCCCCCCACCCCTCCCCTACTACAGAGAAAAAAATCAGACCGGGTTGGCTGCCCAAGCTCCACCCGTGAACACTCTGGAACACCCGCGGACACCCGGGGACACTGTTTACAGCGCTTCATTATTATCAAGGCAGGCATTGGAGTGGTGTCCATGAGTCCGGCGACCAAGGGAAAGACCTAAAGCCTCGCCTCTTCTATATTGCCGATTCTCTTCCTCTTGTCCCTCCACACCTTCCGTCCCTCCCCTACCCATTCGTGATCCCTAAGTACCCTCTGCTGCAGTCACTCCTTCGTTGACCCTTGCACGCCCCTGCCATCTAGATCATTCTATTTTGTCACCGTTTTTTAAACGATGTTAAGTCGCCTTGAGTGAAGGCGCTCTATATAAATATGAGAAGATCAGTTGGTGGGAGACTGTTGAAGGCACGTCTTGGAGGTCGCGTCTCTACTGCACAGCAGCAGCTGCGGGAATCTGGCAGGGGGTGGAAAATGTTGGCGATGAGGTGCGGTGGCATTGACGGTTTCTCTATTGATCTTGAATATCTCCCTGAATAGTTTCTGGACCTCTCGTAGACTGGAGGAGGTTGGCGCGTGACTGGCAGTAAGCCACAGCCATTGAGAGCGGTAAACAGGATGGATAAGGTGTGTGCCGGTGTGCAGAAATATTTTCCGGATCGCTCAAACGGACGCAGACCTGGCCAAAGTATAAGCTCTGAACTATTTATTTTAGCAAAGGTAGCCTAAGTTATTGTTGTGTAGTGGATGAAAAATTTACAAGTGAAGGTTTCGGATTTGGTTATCTCCATCCCGAATGTATACGCTCGGTTTGTTGTGCGTTCACGTGGCACCCCACAAAAAAACGCCTCTCGTCACTTATGTAATATGTGTAGACGTATATATACACACACTCGCACAAGCATATACACACGGTGTTATAAATACGGTGCTATGTGTTTATCTTGCCACTGCGAAGATGCCTGCTTGTAACCACGCATAAGCTTTACCTTATTTTACGAACTAAGTTATTCATGTACGGTGGAAACTCAATAAAGAGTGTGTGCCTGGGCTGGGCCATGTTCTCCAGGAAGTCAACACGTGTGTGCATTTTGTGCGTTTGTATCCTTGCCAATATCGGGACACGGTCACATCTATGACACACGTACAGTGCTTGGGTCATTCCACTGCTGGATTAGGACTTAGCCGTGCAAGTCGTTGGGGGTGGGATTGACTATACTTGATAGGGTAGGCTTGCGAGCACAAGTACAGCACAATCGATTTTGCTGCGCTGCCACCTGCTGCCCACAATTTTAGCTTCTAACACTCGTTATGTACAATGCAAGCAACTCGCCAGGCTCAACCCCAGAGTATCTACTGAGATCGGGGCGTATTCCGGGTTCGTTTGGTCATGAACAAATTCCTAATTAAGACTGGAAAGTAAGACGCACCCCGAACTTGTGACTGGTCTGAATACGATTACTGCAAATGCGGTCACATACAGATACCAGATGATAAAACGCACACTCGATGCGGCAGTACAATTCCTACCACCTGAACACATGCCAATATTTCAGAATATTAATATTCATACTGGAAAAATCCGATGGGCTTTGCAGATCTTTTTCACAGATGTCATGTAGGGCAGTATAGAATGTACTCTTAGATTTTTCGGTAAAGTCACGTAGGTAATATTAGCTGTCACGGTCCCACCTGATGACGGAGACTTGTGTTGCCTTCAAAACGTCGTGATTTATTATTTTATTTTATTTCCATTATTACTTTTATTAACTTTTAATTTTATTTTTTACCTACGTGACGTTACCGAAAAAAACCTAAGAGTATGAATCCTTGCAGTCACGAAAGCTTCAAATCTAGAATTAAAGTATAGAATGTTACATAAACAATACAAAAACAACGATGGGAGTACAAAATATAGTCCACTGAGATATTAGCTTCTCTTTCAAATGAGACCTGGCCGTAAATGATAGCTCAACGAAGTGGCTTACGTGGAAATTATAGCAGCAAAATAATATAATATAAATCTACGCATGTTTCTAAATGTAGAGGGAAAAACCACAGGACCTGGAGAAAAAATCCACGCGACCACGGGAAGAACACGCAAACTCTAAATATACAGGCGTCAGGGTCGGGATTGAACCCCCGACCTCCTGCCTGCATACCAGACCAAGAAGATAACATCACACCACCGTGGCGCCCCTGAAATAATACATAAAGTATCTCCGTTTAAAGTGCATTTGTTTGTACATCAAATCCCAAGCTTGAAAAAATAATTAAAACAGTCCCTCGATAAAATTGAACTATCGATACATTGTTACGAATCATATGTTCAAATCACATTGGCAAATGTGGCTGTATCCAGCAGTAATCTGCTTCGGAATTTGTTTAATGTTATGGGAGGATACGAGGTCGTTTCAAAACGTCTGTGCTGCAATGGTAAGGGCGTTGTCACCTATTCCAATTCGTGTTCTTCGCAAAGTTAAAGGCAATTTGATGGACGTGTTGGGTTTCTTCGGTTTGACAATCGGGATTGTAAATTATCTGAGTATAGCGCAGATTTGCCAAGAAGGATTTTATGGATGAACAAGGCCCAATGTAGATTTCAACTTGCATCCAGTGATACGCGATTGGATTTTAAGTGGAGGTCACAATGGTATGTCTTGTAAGTGCAGATTGAAGAGGAGAATTATGAAGCGGGTTTAGTCTTATTCTTTGGTTCTTTCGGTAAAGTCACGTATAAAGAATCATTAGTAGCTGATCTGTAAGCAGCATCAATAGTCAAACTGGTAGAATAATATCTTAAACAATTTGCAAGTGTAATCGAATGGAAAATAAATGTTCGTGTCTAAATAAAACCCTATTTATTTGATTTGATTTCCTGCGAGATGTGATTAATACGTGGTTGGAACTTAAGTTTTGAATCAATTCGTAAACCCAATATCAGATGGCAGAGGACCTCTCGAGCAAGAAGCCCATCTTGAATGCCATGGCCACTGCACGGTGTCTTCGTAGAGCGAACTCCCAGAGCGGTGGTTGAGGCAGCCAAGCAGCTGGGGTGCTGGAGACGCACGGAGCGGAACTCGGCTCCCCGGAGCGGAACTCGGCTCCCCGGGGCGGAACTCGGCTCCCCGGAGCGGAACTTGGCTCCCCGGAGCGGAACTCGGCTCCCCGGAGCGGAACTCGGCTCCCTGGAGCAGGTGGCGCAGAGCACCGCTGTGCGTCGACGGTGATGGCAAAGGGGCACTGCACTACAGATCACACAGTACACGAACGACACATTGCAACACACACACACACCAAGTTGCATCATAGACTGCAATATTTATCAAACACTACTCCACTATATGACACAGTACATCAGTGTACAATACTCTTCATTAAATGACACACATGTAACACACACGTGGACATGCAGCAGTGTACAATACTCTTCATTAAATGACACACACATGAACATGCATACAAATACAAAAACAGATATACAAAGAAAAAAATACGAACACAAAACACGTCTGCTAATTAACAAAAAACGGATGAAAATACCCGTTAAAAACTGAGAATTAAAAAATACTTGTTTCAAAAACCGTTAAAAACTGAGAATCTTAAAAACATACAAAAAAACCCGTTAAGAACTAAGAAGTAAAAAAATTGTTTAGTGTTAAACTAAATATAATAAGTAAAATAACAAACACATTTCTACAAACCCACGTATACATGAACACTTTAATTAAAAAAAGAACACTTTATAACGTGTAGTGACACAGCGCCGACTGCTGTCCAGCAGCGGCAACTGCGGTGGACAGCGCACTCACGCCGTTGAGCAGAGACACGGGTGTGTGCCGGCAGGGCGGAGGAACTGGGGCAAGGGTCACGGAAAACCTCATGGGAAGGCCCCTGGAACCCTCTAGTGGGTTTGAGAAGGGAGGCGCGGCCAGGGCCGAGTAGAATAAAAGCAGCGGAGAGCGGGAGCTCCGGGTTGCCGGTTCTGGGAGTGGACTCGTCTCGTCGTCGCTGTTGTCATGGCCGCCTTCGTCGCTGCCACCTTCACCTGATCATTGCGCGGCCGGACAGGAGTTGGCTGTCTCGGTCGATGCCGTCGGTGCAACGCGGTCAGGGTTGTGTCTAGGCCGGGCTGTACGGCAGCGTGGTCGAGAGAGAGGAGGCCGGAGTTGGTGTGATGGGATAATAAAGACAAAGAGGGAGACGGTGCCTCCTGCAACTACCTCGTCTCCGACTGAATGTGTGCGCCACACACCACACACAGACACGCCGAGAGGAGGACACCACATATAGCGCACGACACATCTATAACAATACTGTACTAAAGAACTAAGCTTAGAGGCTGATCTTGACACTGCTGGTACCGGTCTTCGGCAAGTCAGCTGTTGTTGTTGATGGTGTTGTTGGTGATGGTGTTGTTGATGTTGTTGGTGGTGTTATTTTTAATTGTGTTGATGTTTTTGGTGGTGTTGTTGGAGATATTTTTATTGGTGTTGTTGATGGTGGTGTTGTTTTAGCAGCAGGTGGCGCCGATGATGGCAGCCTCGGCCGGTCGGTGCACCCTGTTTTTGTCTTGTTTTGCTTGATCACCTGTGCTGGTGAGAGAGAGGCCTGCTGTTCAGTCATCTGTGCTGGTGAGAGGGGCCTGCTGTTCATCACACCTTTGTTGGGAGAGGCCTGCTGTTCAGCACACCTGTGTCCTGTGCTGGTGAGAGGGGCCTGCTGTTCAGCACACCCGTGCTGGTGAGAGAGGCCTGCTGCTCAGCACACCCGTGCTGGTGAGAGAGGCCTGCTGCTCAGCACACCCGTGCTGGTGAGAGAGGCCTGCTGCTCAGCACACCCGTGCTGGTGAGAGAGGCCTGCTGCTCAGCACACCCGTGCTGGTGAGAGAGGCCTGCTGCTCAGCACACCCGTGCCGGCGAGAGAGGCCTGCTGCTCAGCACACCCTGTGTTGGTGAGGGAGCCCTGCTGCTCAGCACACCTGTGCTGGTGAGAGGGGCTTGCTGCTCAGCACACCCGTGCTGGTGAGAGGGGCCTGCTGCTCAGCACACCCGTGCCGGTGAGAGAGGCCTGCTGCTCAGCACACCCGTGCTGGTGAGAAGATGGCGCTGATGATGGTAGCCTCAGCCAGTCGGTGGGCCCTGTTGTGGTTTGTTTAGTCTGTTAACTCAGTGTTCTGCCAAGATTTTCGGAGTTCTCTGACAAGAGACGAACTTCTAAACATCAGGGAAACAACTCCTGTGGACTTATTTCCCACTTTTCTGCTTCCAGCGACAGAATTAGTGGGCATTCTAGTCACAACCATGCAAGGCTTTACTCAAGCAGCAAAACGATGCCGAAGGAGTAAACGGTCGGGGGCTCTAGTACGGCTACGCAGACGCGGGATCCGAACAGTGCTTCCGAGCTTTTTCCTCTCCAACGTACGTTCACTATGTAACAAAATGGACGAACTTCAGCTACTGATGGTGAAAAACAGAGACTTTATTTTATCTTCTATTTTATGCTTCACAGAGACATGGCTGTGTGATTTGATCCCAGACACTGCGTTACAACTGGCAGGCTTCCAACTCGTAAGATCGGATCGGGACATAGCACTCTCCGACAAGACGAAAGGCGGTGGTATATGTTTTAAATTAATAGTGGCTGGTGTGTAGATGTCAAAGTGATTCTGCAACATTGTTCTCCGTTCCTTGGATCATTTTTTATAAACTGTAAACCATTCTACTCGCCTCGTGAGTTCGCGTCGTTCATTTTGGTCGGAGTATATTTGCCGCCGGGACCTCAGGTTAAAGAGGCCCAACGCATGCTCGCCGACTAGATTCTAAGTGTGGAGCGAGCAAATCCAGATTCATTAAATGCCCTACCAGAGAAGGGAACACTCTGGATCACTGTTACACTACAGTCAGCAAATCCAGATTCATTAAATGTCCTACCAGAGAAGGGAACACTCTGGATCACTGTTACACTACAGTCAGTAGAGCCTACCACGCCGTCCCCAGAGCAGCACTGGGACACTCTGACCATGTCATGGTCCACCTAATTCCTGCATACAGGCAGAAACTAAAGCTCTGTAAACCTGCTGTGAGGACATTTAAACAGTGGACTAGTGAGGCTATAGAGGAATTGCGGGCGTGCTTGGACTGTACTGACTGGGATATGTTCACGACTGCTACCAATAGTCTGGATGAACTCACAGAGGCTGTGACGTCGTACATCAGCTTCTGTGAGGACTGCTGTATTCCAACACGCACCAGGGTGAACTTCAACAACAACAAGCCCTGGTTCTCAGCAAAGCTCAGAAGGTTGAGGTTGGAGGAGGAAGCGTTTAGGAGTGGGGATAGAGACAGATTCAAGGAGTTGAAGAACAGGTTTAGCAAGGCGGTGAGAGAGGCTAAACGACTGTACTCAGAGAGACTAAAACACCAGTTCTCTGCTAACGACTCTGCTTCTGTCTGGAGAGGGCTCAGGCAGATCACCAACTACAAGCCCAGAGCCCCCCACACCACTAACGACTCCCGCCTAGCCAACGACCTGAACGAGTTCTACTGCAGATTTGAAAGACAATTGGACTGTCCTGAACTACCCCTTCCCACCCAAGAGGCCCCTATCCAACCCCACACTACAGAGACAACTATCTCCATTCAGGAGGGAGAAGTTAAAACACTTTTCAAGAGGCAGAACCCACACAAAGCAGCTGGGCTGGACTCTGTCTCTCCAGCCACCCTCAGGCACTGCGCGGACCAGCTGTCTCCAGTGTTCACCAACATCTTTACCACCTCCATGGAGACATGTTATGTACCAGCCTGTCTCAAGTCCTCCATCATCATTCCAGTGCCCAAAAAGCCAAGGCCAACAGGATTAAATGATTACAGACCCATCGCCCTTACCTCCGTGGTAATGAAGTCTTTTGAGCGCCTGGTCCTGGCACACCTCAAAGCCATCACAGACCCTCTACTGGACCCCCTTCAGTTTGCCTACAGAGCCAACAGGTCTGTGGATGACGCAGTTAACATGGCCCTCCACTTCACCCTACAGCATCTGGACTCCACAGCATCCTACGCCAGGATCCTGTTTGTGGACTTTAGCTCGGCTTTTAACACCATCATTCCTAGCCTGCTTCAGGACAAGCTCTCCCTGCTGAACGTGCCAGACTCCACCTGCAGATGGATCACAGACTTCCTGTCTGACAGGAAGCAGTGTGTCAAACTGGGATCACAAGTTTCTGCCGCCAGGTCAATCAGCACCGGATCTCCTCAGGGCTGCGTCCTTTCCCCTCTGCTATTCACCCTGTACACCAACAGCTGCACCTCCAGTCACCAGTCTGTCAAACTCTTGAAGTTTGCGGACGACACCACCCTCATTGGGCTAATCTCTGATGGGGATGAGTCTGACTATAGGAGGGAAGCTGACAACCTGGTGACCTGGTGTAGCCAGAACAACCTGGAGCTTAATGCTCTTAAGACCGTGGAGATGGTTATGGACTTCAGGAAGAATACAGCCCCACTCACCCCCATCACCCTGTGCGACTCCCCAGTCACCAATGTTGAGTCCTTCCGCTTCCTGGGCACTATTCTTTCCCAGGACCTCAAGTGGGAACTGAACATCAGCTCCCTTATTAAGAGAGCTCAACAGAGAATGTACTTCCTACGGCAGCTGAAGAAATTTAATCTGCCAAAGACAATGATGGTGTGCTTCTATACAGCTATCATTCAGTCCATCCTCACCTCCTCCATCACCGTCTGGTACGCTGCTGCAACTGCCAAGGACAAGAGCAGACTGCAGCGTATCATCCGCACTGCTGAGAAGGTGATTGGCTGTAATCTACCAACCCTTGAGGACCTGCACACTTTGAGGACCCTGAAGCGAGCGAGGAAGATTGCGGACGATTCCTCGCACCCTGGATACTCTCTGTTCCAGCTACTCCCCTCCGGCAGAAGGCTGCGGTCCATCAAGACCAAAACCTCACGTCATAAAAACTGTTTTTTCCCATCTTCTGTTGGCCTCCTCAACAAGGCCAAGGGCTTAAAATGACTTTTACACTTAAAATGACTGTTACACTTACTATACCATTTTATCTACATAATTACACCTTTCCATACTTACAACGTGTAATCTTATTTGTATTTTTGTATTTTAAGATTGTTTAATACGGCTAATTAACATTTTACATTCGCATTTTATAAGGTCTACTTATTCATAATTTTAAAGATTTTAGCCCTTTGGTATTACTTATACTTTGTAACGTTAGTATAGTTAGAGTGTATACCTTTTATATAAGTTAAGATTCCTACTTGTTCAATGTATGCACCGTCCCGCCATAGTGAATTCCTTGTTTGTGCAAACTTACATGGCGATTAAAACCGTTTCTTATTCTGATTCTGATGTTGTTGGTGATGTTGTTGTTGATGTTATTTTTGTTGTTGCTTTTGTTGTATTTACTAACACAGCTAACGGTGGCTGTGTTAGTGAATGTAACTCAGAGAGTCGAAAATAGCTGCTAACATAGGTAGGTAGGGAGGGTACATCACAGCCAGTTATGACCTAAACTGGTAAATAACGTCCTTCCAGTTATTGTTCAGTTTGTACCCATCTTATCGGTTGAAATTGTGTCTGTGTTTATATATCTGGATGGCTTCATGAACGAATCTTTGCTGATAGCCAGTGGGTTTTAAGAGTACCTTCGTCTTGGCAAAATCAATTTCGCGTGTGCCCACAGCATTAAAAGGTGATGGTTTTGATTGGGTCCTCATATGGTTATTTCCATAACGGTTGGGGTGATAGCTTTATGGATTGTGTAGTCTGAATATCCATTCTTCTTGAGGGCTTGATGTACGTGCTCCAGTTCACTGGCTAGATGGTGATAGTGGGAAATACAACGAGCTCTATGGTATACAGTTTTTGAAGAGGGAATTCTTCTGGGATGGATGGTGGTGGGAGTCAGGCTTTAGGTAGGCATCCATATGGGTAGCTTTCCTGTAGACAGTGTCCCATTGAGCCATCAGGTCTCTTATAGATTAAAGCATCCAATAATGGTAGTTTGCCTTCCTTTTCCACCTCCATGGTGAATGTGATGGCTGGGTGTATGGAATTGATGTGGTTGAGGAATTGGTCCAGAGCTGATAGGCCATGTGGCCAGATGATGAACGTATCATCTACGTATGTCTTCCACACGGACGTAGGGTGGATGCCTGGATTGGATCTGTCTCAAATTTCTCCATGAAAACATTGGCTACACCTATGGGATAAGGAAGAACACATTGGGGTACCTTCAACTTGTTTGTAGAATGTTCCATTCCAGGTGAAGTAAGTGTTGGTGAGGCAGTGTCTAACCAGGGCTGGTACATCAGCATTCAGTCCTTGTTGAACCAAATCTTCAATGATTGTAATGGTGTCAGGCACAGCAACTTTGGTAAATAAAGACACCACATCGAAACTGACAAGCAAATCACCTGGAGATAGTGAGATTTTCTTCATTGAAGATATCAAGTGAGCTGAGTTAAGTACAGCTGAGGTGGTCTTACGAGTGAATGGTTACAAGGTCTCAGACATAAATCGGGTCAGTTTGTAGATGGGTGAGCTCATAGTGGAGACGGTAGGACGGAGTGGTGTACCTTCTTTATGGATTTTTGGTAAGCCATAAAAGCTGGGTGGTCCAGCAGCAGAGGGTTTTAAGGAAAGCCACTTGGTTGGTTCGATTAAAGATGTTGAATCAGTCATGATGTTATTTGTTTTCGTAACCAGGCGGTTGGTAAGATCTCTATTGATTTTGGTATAACTGCCATCATTAAGTAGGTCCTGAATTGTGTTATTGTATGTGGTTTTGTCCATGATGACATTGGCATTGCCCTTGTCGGCTGAGAGGATGACTATTTCATCTCTCTTTTTTAGTTGAGAAAGCTCAAGGCGCTCATCCTTGCTGATGTTGCTAATAGGTGTCTTAGCATTTTTGAGGATTGCAGCGATTTCCGATCTTGCTACGTCTGCAGGAATGTGTCCCAAACCCTTAAGGGCACTGGTCAATTATATCATCAACTGGGATGTGTTTAGAGGTGACTGCGAAATTCAACCCTTTAGCTAAAACCGATTTTAGGCTGTCGGAAATTGGGCTGTTGCTCTGATTGATAACAATCTTGTCACCATCTAACTTTTAAATGTATGGATCTGGCTTCTTGGAAAGGAGGTTGAACTTGGAAATCAGGTTATCTTTGCATGGCGGCTTGCCATCCGTTGCCTCCTCCATGTGGCGATGGCTCTTTCCGAGCTATCTCCGATCTTACATTTACATGCAAATTTCATCTCTAGCCCTGTCCACTGACCCTTACCACCTTTAACACTGACCAAAATAAAACGTGGTACTGTACCATACTTTCACGTTAAACATAGTGCGCTAAACGGTAATGAGAAGCTCAACACAATGCAGGACCAACACCAGATCTCGGAACAAACAAATTCCTCCCACACAAACACCAATTCCCGGACTGCTCGGGTTAAACCCCGGGACAGGTGGCAACCACAACGCAAACCGCGGGGACGCGGGCGGCAACTTTAATAAACATTGCCACCGTGGCCAGATCCGCCTTCACATTCCACAGTCCGCATAGGCGACTCCCGCCGTGTCGGCTCTTTTGATTGGCCCGCGCCGCAGCACGCGCTCACCGTCGACCAATGGGAGGCGTCGACACGGCTGGCCGCGCTAATACGCTGTACGCTTTTCAAACGCGTTTCGCCAGGAAGAACCCCACCACCGCCGCCACCGCGCGCCTCGGACCATGGCCACGGCGATTGAGGACGAGGTCGAGGACGAGCTCGCCTCGCTCGCCTCTCTCCTCGGCGACTCGCTGCCGGCGGGCTGGCGCGACAGCGGCGACGTGGGCCTCTACCTGCGCGAGCTGAGCTCGCACGGCGTCGAGTGGCTGCGGCGGGAGCCCGAGCGCCTCGCCGAGGAGCGAGGCCGCGTCCAGCAGCAGACACGCGAACTCGCCTACCACGACCACGGCACCTTCGTGCAGACGGCCGAGTGCTCGGCGCGGGTGCTGCGCGACTTCGGCGACGTGGAGGCGCGCCTGGGGGCCCTGCTCGACAAGCTGCCCGCCTTCGGCGAGCGCTGCCGACGCTTCGCGCGCGACGCCGAAGGCCTCGGGGCCCAGCGGCGCACGAACGCGCTGACGCTGGGCCGCCACACCGAGCTGCTGGAGCTGCTCGAGGCGCCGCAGCTCATGGACACGTGCGTGCGCAACGCCTACTACGACGAGGCGCTGGAGCTGCTCGAGTAGGTCACCACCCCTAACCCCCCACCCCCCGGCGCGAGTGTATACGTGACCCCCACACCCCCCCACACCCCCCCCCCCCCGCGAGTATACATGACCCCAACCCCCCCCCCGCGCAAGTCTACGTGACCCCCACCCCCCGCGAGTAGAGGTGACCCCCCCCCCCCACCCGCGAGTCTACGTGACTCCCACCCCCCCCCCGCGCAAGTCTACGTGACCCCCACCCCCCGCGAGTAGAGGTGACCCCCCCCCACCCGCGAGTCTACGTGACCCCCACCCCCCCCGCGCAAGTCTACGTGACCCCCACCCCCCGCGAGTAGAGGTGACCCCCCCCCCCACCCGTGAGTCTACGTGACCCCCCACCCCGCAATTATACGTGACCCCCCCCCCACCCGCATGCGTATACGTGACCCCCACACCCCACCGCGAATACACGTGACCCCCACCCCCCCCAGCGAGTATACGTGACCCCCCCCAGAGAGTATACGTGACCCCCCCACCCCGCAATTATACGTGACCCCCCCCCACCCGCATTCGTATACGTGACCCCCCCCCCCCCGCGAGTCTACGTGACCCCCCCCCACCACCAGTCTACGTGACCCCCACCCCCCCGCGCAAGTATACGTGACCCCCACCATCCCCTCCCCACCGCGGGTCGAGGTGACCATTCTGAATTGGTGGCCCGACTCCCCGACCTGGTGACCTGACCTGGTCACCGCGCAGGGAGCCTCCACGGCGGAAGCAGCAAGACCCAAGTGCAGTCTCCCGACTCATCCACCACTCTGCCCGTGTCCCCTCTCCGGCTGCCGCTCTCTTTGTGTGCTCTGAAGAATGTCTACTACCCGAAACGTCGCCTATCATAGCCATATACTTGTTGTTTTCATTTGAAGGCCATACACAGTGTTGTTGACGAATGTGTTGGAGGTTTGTTTGTTGTTTTTGCATCACTGCCAACGCAGCAGAAGCAGCATCGCCACATTATCCGGACACCCTTAATGACAGCAGCCAACCCCGAGCGCCGGTCGCGGCTGAGCTTGATCCCCACCGCTGACCCCCCACCCTCCCCCCGCCGCTGTCCACCTCCACGCAGGTACGTGAAGCGCCTTGAGAAGCGCCACGCCTCCATCCCCGTGGTGGCCGCCATCGTGAGCGAGGTGCGCGCCTCCGCGCAGCTCATGCTGAGCCAGCTGCTGCAGCAGCTGCGCACGGCGCTGGCGCTGCCCGCGTGCCTCCGCGCCGTGGGCTACCTGCGCCGCATGCGCGCCTTCTCCGAGGCCGAGCTGCGCCTCAAGTTCCTGCAGGCGCGCGACGCCTGGCTCGCCGCGGTGCTGTCGGCGTTGCCGCGCGACGACCCCTACGCCCACGTCGCCAAGACGGTGGAGGCCTGCCGCGTGCACCTCTTCGACGTCGTCACGCAGTACCGCGCCGTCTTCGCCGACGACGACGCGCCGCACGAGGCTTCGTCGTCGGGCGGCGGCGTCAGCGAGCGGGACCCGGCCCGCGAGGGGGCCCTCTTCCACGCGTGGGTGGCGCGCAAGGTGGCGGACTTCCTCGCGACGCTGCGCGCGGCCCTCCGCGCCGGCGTGGGCCCGCGTCTCGACGCCCTCGTGGGCCAGTGCTTCTACTTCGGCCTGTCGTTCGGGCGCGTGGGCGCCGACTTCCGCGCGCTGCTGGCGCCGCTCTTCCAGGAGGCGGCACGCGAGGCGCTGGCGCGGGCGCTGGCCGAGGCGGGCGACGCGTTCCGGGACGACATGGACGCCTACACGCTCGTGGCGACGCCGCTCAAGCTGACGGGCGGCGCGGGAATCCGCCCGGAGAGAGGGGTTGGCGCCCAGGGTGCGACAACCTCGCAGCAGGCCGGAGCGTTGTTGCAGCCGCCGGCGACGCTCATGGACTTCCCGCCGCTGGCGTACTTCCTCAACAACGTCCTGGCGGCGTTCAACGAGCTGCGGCTGTGCTGCCCGCTCGCCCTGGCGGAGGATGTTGGGGCCTGCGTGGAGGCCACGCTGGTTGGGGTGAGGTTGGGGTGTGGGTGTGGTTTGGGGCGGTGAGGGGGGTAGTTGAGGTGAGGTTGAGGTGTGGTCAAGGTGAGGTCGGGGTGTGGGTGAGGTTGGGGGTGGGGTCGATGTGAGTGCAGTCAGGCTGTGGTTGGTGTGTAGTTGGGGTGTGGGTGAGGTGGTATGGTCGGGGTGAGGTTGGGGTGTAGGTTGAGGTGAGGTCAGGACGTGTGTACAAAGCCGCTGCTAGTGGAGGGTGGTGGCTGTCGGGACCGGCTGGTTCAGATCTCACTCGCCACCGCTGCCACCGCTGTCCTTGCACTCCTGACACTCTCGCAGCAAACAACACTCGCCCAATCCCGGTGCTGACGAACAGCGCAAATTCAGCCCACATGGTCGCATCACCCACAGCCTGGCAGGGGGTCTGCCAACGGCAGATGGCAGACGTGCATTTGCACGGTGACTTGTAAACTACGTTAGGTCGAGCGCGTACGTGACAATTGGATTGCGTCTGCGGTGCCGGTAAATGGCAAATGCTGGAAAAGCCAGGGGCTCGTAGGGAGAGTCCAGGCTGAACCGCTCTCAAACAGACGGCTCCTGGTTCACCCTTGTTGCGATGATGTGCATGTACCATTGCGACGACATGCATGTGCGTACAGTTTGGCGCCAGCTATCGTAGAGTTCGGTCGTGTGGCGACAGTTCTCTGCGGTGAGTACAATGTCTTTAAAGACAGCAGCGCTATGCCTCTCTAACTGAAATTAACACTAACCGCGTGCACGTTCCGAGATTCAGTGGTGAATGGGACTCCACCTGCAACTTGCAGACGTTTCGGAACGGGAAAGGGTGAATGATGTTCCAGACCTATTGTCTTTCCGCTGCTGGATGAGGGCCTCCCACAAGCCGTACGGGTCGTATTTGACCATACTTCACCACGCTGGGTCAGTGCGGGAGACTCGGCGTGGTTTTCGTGTGTAATTGAAATGCCAGGCGTTGGTGGTTATGCTGCACGTGGCCGTAGACTAACATTGCCCATAGACTAACACTATCCATTGACTAACACTGCCCATAGACTAACACTGACCTTAGACTTACACTGCCCATAGATTAACACTGCCCATAGACTAACACTGCCCGTAGACTAACACTACCCATACACTAACACTGCCCATAGACAAACACTGCGCATAGACTAACACTCTCCGTAGATTAACACTGCCCATAGATTAACACTGCCCACAGACTAACACTCCCTGTAGACAAACACTGCCCTTAGATGAACACTGCCCATAGACAAACACTGCCCATAGATTAACACTGCCCATAGACTAACACTGCCCATAGACAAACACTACCCATACACTAACACTGCCCATAGACAAACACTGCCCATAGATTAACACTGCCCATACACTAACACTGCCCATAGATTAACACTGCCCACAGACGAACACTCCCTGTAGACTAACACTGCCCTTAGACTAACACTGCCCATAGACAAACACTGCCCTTAGATGAACACTGCCCTTAGACTAACACTCCCCGTAGACAAACACTGCCCTTAGATGAACACTGCCCTTAGACTAACACTCCCCGTAGACGAACACTCCCCATAGACTAACACTGCCCTTAGATGAACACTGCCCTAAGATGAACACTGCCCTTAGACTAACACTGTCCATAGACTAACACTGCCCATAGACTAACACTGCCCATAGACAAACACTGCCCATAGATTAACACTGCCCTTAGATGAACACTGCCCTTTTACTAACAAACTGAAGAGTAATATTATGGACAGAGCTAAATGGAAGGAAGGAGGCCGTAGTCTCCGACCCCTTTGAGAGAGGACACGGCTCACGTAGAAAGGGAGGGCATCTTTTCACGAGGGGTTTGAGTCGCTCAGAGGGCCGACTGGCAGCTGAAGGTGCCGGGTGCCGCTGTGTGTGCGCGCGCACCTCACAAGCGATCGTATTGACCGCGATTGCCATGACATTCCGGCACTGTTTACGGAACGCGTCTTGGCAGCACCGGCCGCTCGGCAGACTCCCGCCCGGCTGTTTATGCGCTCGGAGGGGAAAAAAGAAAAAGAAATACCGGCATTGATTTGGATCAAAGCTGGACTGTCAACGGCCCCTGGGTTCTGTGAAGCCGCGAGGCTGCACTGTACTTCCAGCAATCGCCCCCTTTATTTAAAGCAGGTGACACGAGCTCAGACGAATTCTGCAAGGCAGGTGTGGGCATTCCACACTCGTCACCGGCCGTGATCGGTCCACTGCTGTGGGTTAAGGCCGCCCCTCCGAGCCGTCGTCTCGTGTCACAGTCCTCTGGGACGAGAGTCGGAGGGAGGACATCGACGTTTGTGTGTCGGGGTCATGCGGTTGTAAAGTTAGGAGGCCGCGATTGCCAATTCTGATGATGCCATCACACCTCACCGCTGTTGCTGCTGCCGCCTGCCAGTCGTCATGTTCTAATTTTAGATGTGCAATTTCTGTGTCCTCGTAAGAAGGAATGCCGCTCCTAACGGAAAATGTATTCTGAAAGAAACGTTTCAGAGTTGGGCTTCGTCCGGCCGTCCTCGGCTCAATGATCAATCTGCGGTTCTCGTTCAGATGCGTCTCGTATTTACGCTAACGTAACCTCGCCTCTCAACCCCGCTGTCTAACCAACTGTTGTGCCACCCAGAAGTTACCAAATGATCTCGTCAGATCCTTGGAAGCTGCGTAAAGTGTGAGCCCGGTTTACACTCGGATGGAGAGGCTGCCCAGGAATATCAGGTGTTATAGGCATGGGATTCGAGTTGGCGAGCAGATAGGCACCGCAGCAATGGTTTCTTGGTTACGTCTGCTTGGTGCTCTGAATGTTAGCCAGCTCGTGTGCATGGCTGTTCTCTGGGCATTTCTTACCACGCGCCAAACACTCTTGGAGAAGAGTGTTTAGTCTTAAGATGATACGGGGGGTATCTGTATTTGTGCGCGTGTGTGTGTGAGTGTGGGGAGCGGCAGTGTCGCGGTTGGCACGCTACGCTACGAACCCGGCGACCCGAGTTCAATTCCCGCTCATGGCCAACACCGGTGACGTTTATCTGAACCAGTCCTAGTCGTCCCCTAGGTCGATTCAGCCTCAAATGAGTACCTGGTGAGATGTGTTAACATCGCCACTGGGGAGACGAAGGCGGCCGGGCATGGTGCTGGCCACGCACCCCCTCGTGCGGCGTGCCGGCCTTCATAAGCGCCACTCGCTGACAGCACTTGCCCCAACAGTCTGTTAAGCTTATACGGGTGATCTTCGTCTTTGTGTGTACTAAGCGCAGCAGTCAGCGCTGCACTGTGCTACTCACCCGGCGACCCGAGTTCAATTCCCGCTCACGGTCAACACCGGTGACGATTATCTGAACCGGTCCCGGGCCTCCCCAAGGTCGACTCTGCCTCAAATGCGGCGCCTTGCCGGCCTTCATAGGCGTGACTCACCGCCTATGTAACAGCACTTGCCCCAACAGTCCGTTGAGGCTACACGGGGGATTGTTGTCTTTGTGCCGTGGGCAGGCGGTGGACGCGGTGCTGGCATTCCACCGCGCGGAGGAGCCGGCGATGAGTGCCCGCGAGGCGGAGCTGTTTGCGCGCTTCTGCGCTGCGCTGGCGCGGGAGCTGGCGCCGCACGTCGACCGCTGCCTGCAGGCACTGTTCCCCCCCGCGGAGCTCGCACGCGCACTCGGTGGGGGCCAAGCACGCGCACACACACCCACGCACACACCCACGCACACACCCACGCACACAAACACGCACACACACACGCACACACCCACGCACACACCCACGCACACACCCACGCACACACCCACGCACACACCCACGCACACACCCACGCACACACCCATGCACACACACACATAGACAAAGATCAAGCCGCGTCGCCTCTAGCAAGATGTCCGGGGCAAGTGCCGTTAGCGGCAACGACAAGAGGTGGGGCGTGGCCAGTACCACGCCCGCCCGTCCGCCTTCGTCTCCGCAATGGTGATGTTAATGACGCACTCATTTAAAACGGAGTGATGGTGAGCGGAAAATCGAACTCGGGTCGCCGGGTTCATAGCGCCGTGCGCTGATGTCTACATAGACCAATCCCCACATGCTCGCGCACCCGTACACGCACACACCCGTGCACACACACACGCCCGCTCACACACACGTACACGCACACACAAGCCTGCACACGCACCCGTGCACGCACACATACACAACCGTGCACACGCCTGTATACACCCTCGTACACACATGCACGTACACGCACACATACACAACCGTGCACACGCCTGTATACACCCTCGTACACACATGCACGAGGGTGTACACAGATTACCAGAGTCTGACCACAGTCAGACGCTGGTAATCTGTGTCGATTGCCGGGCAGCATTCATCACCATAGTTGGTTCCGAGCCACCAGTTGTAAATTCCGCATTCCCCTGGCAGGTCCCACTTCCCTCCGTGCCGTACACAAATCGCTCCCTAAGCCATGTGTGAGCTCTCCCCGAGGCCTGGGCGGAATGCTGAGTGGTGCTCTGCTCGTGTCCCCGTGTGCCGGTACCTCCGTGTCTCTGTGTCCCCCTGTCCGTGTGTCCTTGTGTCTCCATGGCCACCTGTGCCCTTGTCCCTGTGCGTCCCTGCGCCTGTCCCCCCGTGTCTCCCTGTCCCCATGTCTCCGTGTCTCCGTGTCCCCCATGTACCCCTATCTCCGTGTCCCCCGTGTTCACCGTGTCCCCGTGTGCCTGCCGTCTGCTTGCTTGCAGGTGTCCCGCTGGTCCATCTCTCGCGCCTGGGCCACCTCGGCCGCTTGGACGTGGAGGCCATCATCGCCCCCCTGGCGCCGCTGCTCCCTCCCGCACCGCCCGAGCTGCCCCCCCTCACGCCGCCACCGCCCGTGCCGGCGCCCCCCCAGTCGGGGCCCCCGCCTCTCCCGCCCGCAAGCAGTGGCTCGCCCGCAAGCAGTGGCTCGCCCCAACCGATCGCCGTCCTCGCGTCGGTCCCCCCCATCCTCCCGGGCGGCCCGCCGCTTGCCACCGAGGCCCAGCCCCCGCCGCGGGACCCAAGTCCTGTTTCGGACGCTCCGTCCGGAACAACGCCGGCCCCCCAAGATGCCCAAACAGCAGCGGCGGAAGAAGAAGAAGAAGAAGAAGGAGAAGGGCCCCCCACGATTTCAGGGAGCCAGGCGGAGGAGGATTGAGAGATAATCGAGGTTGAGGCAGCTTGTAGTGACGTCGTGCTGCCGACCCCCCTCCACTGAGTGAGACTGGTGGTGACCCCGGGGGGGGGGTGTTGGAGGGGGCTGATGACCTCTGCTCGGTTCGCAAAGGTCACAACGGCCGTAGGAGAGCGGCGTTTTTGAAGCAGCTCATCACCTGGGACCGCGGCGCTCACTCTGGTGGCAACGTTTTGATCCCGAAGAGAGGGTGGAGGTTGGTGGGCGGGAGGTGGTTGGGGGGTGGTGGGGGTGTTAAGGATTTGGGAGATGGTGGTGCAGCAGAAGGAGACCATTTTATATGTCGGTGTTCGTCTGGGGTCAGACTCGCACTGTAATTGTCAACGGGTTCGTGGCAGCGATGTTAGAGTTTGGGAGGAGGCAAGTCACCATGGGTGTGGGGGTGGTGCTCTATCGAGTCGACCATTTCCCCATGAGAACTCTTAATTGTTGGCTAGGGGGCACAGCTTATGGCTCATGTCCTCTGTCTGAAAGTTGTTTGTGGGGGGGGGGCACAGCTGTTCCCTCTGCCCCCCCCTCCCCGTGTTGTTGTTGAGTTGCGTGCTCACTGCTGTTGTGCGTTCCCGCACTGACATTTGATTGGAAGCTCTGGGCTGAGCGTGTCGCAGATCGGGAGATAACACCGTGTTTGTGGGTTGTGTAACGCGTGTTGCAACAGTGGGTGGGTGGTGGGTGTGTGGGCGCGTGTGTACGAGCGCGCGGGGAGCGGTGGCGCAGCGGTTAGCGCCACCGCTTGGCTGTGTAGCGCCGCGACCCACGTTGGATTCGCGCTCACGACTTAACGTCCGTGACGAATAATCTGAACCGGTTCCCAGGGGCTCACCCGAGTCGACTCGGCCGTAAATGAGTACGTGCCTGGTGCGGTACTTATTAGACATCAGCACTGGGGAGGCAAAGGGGGCCGGGGGCGAGGTGGCTGGCCACCCACCGCCGGTGCGTGCCTTCTCGGTGCTCACCAATGGCACTTGCCCCCAGCACCCTGTTGGAGGCTATACGGGGGAGCTTTGTCTTTGTGCGTGCTGGGTGTCCCCATCTGACCGGTCGCTCATTGCGGCAGGGACCCGGGGACTGCGTGGAGGACTCGACACGGTGTGCCACTTAGTCCAGGGGTGGCAGCAGCAGAAGGTGGTAACTGCATAAACTGGCCAAGCCTTGCAATAAAAACAACATGACACAGTCCACTCTTGAGTCCACTGCTGGATGAAGGCCTCCCCATGCATGCCGTGTTGCTTGAGGTCATGTTCTCCCCACGCCTGACCACGTTGGTCGGTGCTGGTTGGTGAAGGGGGTGGGTGGACCCAGGATCGATTCAGGCGTCGCACGCAACCCGTGTTCGCCGTGACTGGGAATCGAACCCCGCTCGCTGGGTTCGGAGTGTGGTGCGCTAACCACTGTGTCACCGCTTCTCTCCCCCCGGCTAAACACATTAGAGTTAGCAGTTTCTTGACACGGCCGTCCAAAGTGAATTATGTAATCGCTCAATATGGCCATTGAAAATTATTTTAATAATAAACGTATTTCAATGACCATATTGGGAAATGTTTTCAATTCAAATGTTCGCCCCCTCGGAGTGGGTGGGACTGACAAGTTGGATTCCTGGTCCTGGCCCCGTGCAGTTATTTACGTCGCCACGTGTAAGGGGGGGGGGGAGACAATCTCGGGAACAATTCCACGGCGGCTCTGCAATTCGCTCCGTGCTTTACGAGACGCGCTTGAACCTCCCGAACCAAAAAATAAAATGTACAGCGCTTGAGTTTTAAATAAATAAATAACGGAGCCCGCCTTGGATTCCTGCTCCCCATGGTCATCACGGCCGCTGCTAAACGGGGCACATTTTTGTCGACAGATTTCACGATTAATGCGGAAAATTGCCAAGTGCGTGCGTCGCTCCAAACAACACGAGCGGCGCGTTCCAGACGACTCCCAGACCCGCTGCGCTCCGCTCCGGGATTCCGCTCGGCTCCCGGCGGGTGGAGCGATCGGCTCGCCATCGGGAGGATCCGAGTTCAGGCCCTGGTTGGGTTTGGAGGTTAACTCGGCCCATCACCATCCCCTCCCCTCCGTGGGTCGATCAAACCAGGACCAACTTTGTGGTGAAATCAACATTGGTTGTCCCATGGTTAGACTCACACCCCCGCCACGTGAACGTGGAATGTCCACCACAATGCTCGATTGAGCAGGAAATCGTGAATTTCTGTTTATATTTCACACCTTGGCAGCATTTGCCTGCCCACCCCCCCCCCATACACAACATTAAGACTTTCATTCCAGACATTCAGTTCCAGCAGCTCCGCTCCTGGATTTTGGGACCGCAATCTCGCACCTTGCCGACAGCTGCCCACACATCTCCCACCGCCGCCTCCCCCCCCTCCCACAGCCGCAGGGCTCTGACATCTCGCTTTGTATGGCGTGCATCGCTGGCGTGCCGGCCCGGCGTGCTGGGCTTGGCAGCCACGGCGCTGCGTGGCGTCGCGTCTGCCGAGCGAGCCCTGCATCGCTACTGCCCCCTGCCTCTACCTCGTCTCCCTCCCTCCCCCCACCTCCTCCCCCCGCCCCGCCCTCCTCCTCTCCCTACTCCCCCCACCTTCCACGAGCCGCCGACGGCCGCCCTCTAACCCTGGCTCCCGCCGCCGATTAACGGGTCCAGAGGCGGCTCGCTCCGAGCCAGCGCTGCCGCCGTGTTTCTTTGGGGCCCCGAACTCCGATGTTTTTGTTTCATCGCGCTGACGATTTGCGGACGAAGCCCGACGCCTCCGTGGTGACGGTGGTGATGCTCGCCGCGGTGGGTAAACTGCTTTTGGCCGCCATAGGAATGTGGAATTTTCACCGCCGAGGACAGCGCCAGGGTGTGTGTGTGTGTGGGGGGGAGGAAGCATGTTTATATTTTTTAAGTCAAAAAAGTCCCAAGTGGCTTTGAGCTCGGCTCGTGTTTCTTTGGGGCTCAGCCAGAGGTGGGAATTCCACATTCCTAGGGCGGGGGAGGGGCGAGTACATCTATATGGCAGGCGCTGTTTTTTTAATAGTAAGTATAAATAGGTGAGTAGCTCTAACCGGTTAAACTAAAACATCAACCGGTGACGAAAATTACAAACTTGCAATCACCGCTCACGGACCCCACCTTTCCCGGGCACTCCCCGCTCTCCCCGCTCTCTCCCCACCCTCCACTCTCCGCTCCATTATAAAACACTTGCTCCTATCCCCTATGCTGCTCGCTCCACTCGTTGTTTGTCTTCATCTCTGAGCGCCGTTCTCCCCTCTTTCCAGAGCCCCTTTCTCCCAGAGCCCCCCTCTCCCTTTCTCCCAGCTCTCCGATTTCCACTTCCCGATTCCCCCTCTCCATCTCTCCTCTCTTTTCCCTGCCTCTCCTCCCCTGACGCTCCCCCCCTTCCTCTCTATCCTCTGCCTTATCTCTCTTCTCTCCCCTCCTATTTCCATTCCCCCATCTCGCTCCACCATCTCATCTCTAACTCTCTCGCTACCTCTCATTCTCCCTTCGCCACTCTCCTCTGTCATCTTCTTTTCCTTCTCCTCTCAACGAATCCCCACTCTCTCCCCTCCCCGTTATCCCCCCCCCACTCTCCCCCTCGCTGCACTCTCTCCACAGGCTCCTCCTCTCAACCCCGTCTCACCACAATGCCCGCGTCCCCCCCCCCTTGCCCCCCCCCCTTGCCCGCCCCCCTTTGTCCCCCCCCTCCCTCGCCATCAACTCCCTTCTCTTCTCCCCCTCGTCTGCTCCTCTTCTCCCCCACACCAGCTCGGCTCCTGCTCTTCGCATCCACCGCCCGTCACCAGGTGAGTGTCCTCATCTCGGACCCAAGTTGAATGACACGCAGGGCGTTGTGCACATACTTCAACCGAGGTTGTTGGTGCAATTCCGAGAATGATAGGCCCGCAGCTTTACAATTACGTGCAAGTTAATGATAACAACATTGTTTTATAATGATGATGATGGTCATCATCATCGGCGGCTGTGGTCAATCCACTGCGGTATGAAGACCTCGCATTGCCGGCGCAGGGCGTCGTTTAGCCTCTGCAAGGCTGCAACCGGCAAGCGTTGCGATCGAATTTGCCGTGCAGCCTTTGAAGTGCACACGCCACGTGCACACACCGCGTGTGCACGTGGCGTGTGCACGCGGCGTGTGCACGCGGCGTGTGCACGCGGCGTGTGCACGCGGCGTGTGCACGTGGCGTGTGCACACCGCGTGCGGGGCCGGCGGGACGCGCGCGCGCGGACGCACGAGGCCGAGTGCCGCGCGCGCCGCGTGTTGTTCTCGGGAGGAGCTGGAATGTGGCACGGAGTCGCCGACTCTCTTTGGCCGTAACAAGAAACAATCTGCACCGTGTGGAATTCGGGTTTTAGATCTGGCTCACGTGGGGGGGGGGGGGGGGGACATGCAGACTCGGCCGAACGTCCCGCGTACCGAAGTAGCAAGTCCCACGAACTCGAACACGCGCACACGTGGCACCGGGGCACACGCTGTGTGCTCCGTCTTGTAACATCGGCGCCACCGTGGCTAGGAGATGTTAACTACCTCGCCCGGTATGCAGGAGGTCGTGGGTTCGGTCCCGACCCTGACGCCTGCTGCTGTATATTTGGAGTCTGCGTGTCTCTCTCTCCGTGGTCGCGTGGATTTTCCTCCGGGTCCTTCGGTTTTTTCCCCCCTCCACATTTAAAAACGCGCGTTGAGATGATTTGGCCGCTATAATCATCCACGTGATAAGCCACTTCGTTGAGCTATCATCTGTGACCACGTTGCTTCTAAGCTATATCGCTCAGTGACCTTACCTAATAAAATAAAACTAGTTTAGTTTTTAAATAGAAATGTGGTAAACCACGCAACGATCCTCGTCATCGGTGGACCAAGTAATTCGCCTTCTAGTGTGATGCTGAAACCTGTACAAAGGGGGCCTACGCATGAGCACAGCGTTCAAGTGCCTGCCCAATAGACTATGGAACCTGTGCAGATCTGGGTTCATGGTTTGAGCCGGTGGTGGGAATTCCACATTCCTATGACCAGGCCCTGTCACGGCATAGGAACAACTCCCGTTGACTGGCCGGAAGTTGTTGCACCGACAGAGACACGCAGACACTTATCACTGAACCAGCCACCTGTACTCAGCCATGATTAATCCACTTCTGGATGAAGGCAAGCCGTTTCAGTCGTGGGGGCTGTTTGACCATACTTCACCACGCTGGTCAACGCTGGTAGGGTAGGCGTAGAGGGTGGCGGGTGCAGGCATGGTTCAGGTATATCATCGCCACTGATGTTATCAGTGTTCGTAGCGCAGTACGCTAACCACTGCGCCACCGCTCACCACGAACTCACGTGGCACCACCGTAGTAGGGTAACGCATCTTCCACTGTTACGAACACGACGTGACGATTATCGCGGCATCGCTGTCCCATAACTGTAAATTGTAATGAACAATGTTACTTATCGGTATTTGTGATTTGCTGTACTATCACGATGAATAGAAATGCAGTTTAAAAGTTCTTTAACCGCAGTTCGCTGAAATATGATCCTGTTTAACCCGGTGTAACTTTGTGACTTGTAACGCGTTTTAATATATTGACGCACGTGCGGTCAGTCACACACGCCCGAGATCATGAAATCATTAGGGGTCGTCCCACGATCATGATGAGATCAGCTAAAACTAAACATTATTATTGTTTAGCCAGGTAAAGCCCACTGAGCCATATAGCTATGTTTCAGAAGGGACCCGGCCGCAAATGATAGCTGAACTATAAGCGGCTTATCGTCATCACGTGCACATTTATTGCAGAAATCAAATACTCTAAACGCGTGACGTTGATTCCAAATGTGGAGGGGGAAAACCGGAGGACCCAGAGACAAATCTACGCGACTACGGTGAGAGCGACACGCAAACTCCGAATATACAGCAGAGGCGTCAGGGTCGGTCTCGAACCCACGACCTCCTGTAGACCAGGCGAGGTCGTTAACAGCTCGCCTCCGAGACGTCCCAGCTGATGGTGGCAGCCCTGCTCTGCGTGCCGCCGGCTCAGGACGATAAGTTGCTGAGCCGTTCGGTGGTGGTGGTGGTGGTGGCTACGGTGCACATGGTCTGTAGTTCAGCGCTGTGGAAACAGCAGCGAGGGTTAGTGGATCACGCAAAGATGTTGCGAAACTCATTTCGCGTGGGTTGGTCGCCAGGGG